AGAGCTGCAGCCGAATCTGTGGCCAGCCGTGAAATGATTGTGGGAAGGGGGAGGGCGTTTCATGACCCAGCCAGGGGATGGAAGGAAAACAAAAACTTGAAATAATGATGGAAGCTAAAAACATGATCAAATGTCTGACAAAATGAATGAGAAAATCTAGGATAATGTGAAAACAATGTGAAATGGTGAAAGGGAAATAAATGGTGGCTATTACATAAAAAGCAAATGCATGCTTAAAGCTTTTCTAGCAGTTGTAAAACTACAACAATGGGAGTGATGAGAATTAGAATAACATATACAGGGCTTACCGTGCGATCTTCTAAGTACATGGTTTTTGACAAAAAGTCAATGCCAATAGTTGCCTGTAAGACAATCATTGCATTTAAACATTGTTATCAGCATGACACTTGACAATGCATAAGATATATATCTAAGAATAAATATTAGACTAAGTTGATGACTACATTGTGTATTAAACATTATCTATAGACCTTTTTCAAAACACTTTGACTCATCAGAAGGAACACCACAGGTGAAGCTAAAAACATTAGCGATGGCCCTATTCCATTAAAGTGTTCCCATATCAAACCAGTAAGTCAATATGTACGCTAAAACAGAATCTGGAAGATCATGGAACAGCCATAAATAATTAATGTTATCGATTACACCTGTGATTAATAAGTCATAATGTCTCATGTGAAAAATGCCTTTTGGAAAACATCACACATTGATCATAATGCAATCAATCAGTGCCTTAATTCTGCGTCATATTGAGATGAACATATGTTATTACCTGATAAGTGTTGTCGAAACTGTCATACATAAACCTGGTGATGAGTGAGGTCTTCCCAACTGTACAAACACAGCAATAGACACTTAGAGATTTGATCCTGGTAATAAAAGACCATTTATACATAAAAAAAAGCAAAGTCAAGATTAAACACCCCTGTGTATAATTTCTATTTTTGCATTTTAGGAGAAAGACAAAAAATCAATGAGTCCGTGACAACACATGGTGAGTAAAGTGCTATTATCATTGATGCAATGTGGACAGCTGAACCCACACGCTGAGCTGGCAGTATGGGTGGAGCCACAAGATTTTGGAAAATGAAAAAGGCTTGGCTACTTCTATTTGTTTCGTGATGAGAGAGTATGCCACTGCCATCCTCCGCAATCATCCCTAAAATACAATAATACACGATAAAGTCAGTGCCAGTCCCTGTGAGCTGACGGTAAATGGTGGGGTTAAGGCCGACTGCTCTGCACCCACTGGCCGACGTGGCTCTGCAAGGGTGCTGCCGTGGGAAGCTAATGATGCTAGTGAGTTGAATAGCGCTACACATACAGACACGGGCAAACTGAATTCACAGTCTGATGTCTGGAAGCAAAAATTCGTAACAAATTCTTGACAGTCACATTTCATTGAGAGGTGAACGTCATTATTAACGAACGTTACAGATAGTGCATTTCAGTCTAGCACAGCTAACTGCTAACGCTAGCTAAAAAGTAGTTAGCCAACTGCCGTTAGCTTTTAGATGATGCTGATGCATCACAAATGGCCACGGTAAGGACAATATTCACTGCGTTAAGCTGGCAACAAGCCAATATGTAGATAAACCAAATACGTTCATGTTATGAAACGGTAACTCTACGTTTTGTGAGCATTCATCGCTAAAGGGCGAGATGCATAGCTAGCTTGCCGATTTAGCGCTAGCCAGCTAAGCAATGACATCATCACGAGTAAGAAAAAATGTCATGTCCATTATCTTTATGCGACCTAACTCTTTCTTAAACGTATTGTGGACGCTGAAATATTATTATTTAGCTTTGTATCATCACTGGCCGTTCACAACCGGTGGATAACTTTATCCTGCTAGCCAACAGCAAACTAGCCCTAGAACCTAGCTAGCCGATGCTACGTTAGTCTTAGCCACTTCGTCTAACATTCCTCACATCCGACCAAATTAACACTTGGTTCAAGTCCGCCGCTCCCCACTTACCACTCTGTTCGCCCAGAAAGACGAGCTTGAACTTTCGTAGAGGGTTGCCAAACTCTCCGCCGCCGGTCGTGGTTGACATTTTGTCCAAAAATAAACAGCTAACTAGCTGACTTGGCTAATGATGTGATGTCTAGACCGGAGAGGAGCAAGTAGTGTATCTTTATCCTGCACTAGCCAGCGCTATTGTTTTCTTAAACCTACAGAAGTGAAATAGCGCAACCAAGAGGCAACTACTGAGAAACGGCAGAGATGGTAATGTAAAGCCTTATTACATGTCCATTTTTTTAATTAGGATACAGTGCTGTTTCTTTATGTGTCCAACAAAGTGTATTTTAATAGATTTTGGTGACAGAAGGAGTGAACATATACACACTGTAGGCCAGGCAGGCCAGAGGTTTGCAAATGCAGGCAGGGGGACCACATTTTCAAAAGTGGGCCCCTCATCCACACCCAATAAGGGGGGGTACTTTTACTTCTATCTACTGTTAAGACCTTGTTTTCTTATTTTAAAAAGCAGAGGTAGTCACATGTGTGTCCTGGGCTGAAAATGCCCTCCAGTGCCTGATTAGAGAGTATAAAATGGCACATTGAAATGTGTTTTAATTATAAAATTACATTTATTTATCGTGTAAATCAGTGGTTCCCAACTGGTCCAGCCACAGGGTCCAAATTTGTCCTTAGTCATTAGTTCAAGGTCCACACAGTATAAAATATTCAGCATCATACATGCGTTTGGTGTCGTCAAGCTAGTTTGCTGTCTGTTTTTTATTTTCTGTACAACAGAAAATGACCCTTTGCTGCACACATATTCACTGTACTTCAATATAAAGTGTTTTTTTTTTTTTTTTTACAAACTTGACACATTAGCAAGTCAGTTTCAGAATGGACCTGCGACCCATTTGTGGACCTTGACCCACCAGTTGGAAACCACTGGTGTAAATCCACATAACTTGTCTTGTCAGTGATTTAAGACAGTAAGTAAATTGTTGTAACTGATCTCATTTTAGGGTCAACCATAGACCTTTTTCATGGGCCCACCCTTGGCCTTGGGCCAGGGTCATCTGTACCCTTTGACCCCTCCGACGCCAGGCCAGGGTTACTCGACTTGCTTTTGCAAAATGGCAGGAGGCCAGGAGCCAGCTGCAGCAGCTCCACACAGGTCAGGTGTGTGCATTTCTAGGTTTTGAGGACACTTGGGGCTTAGATTGTACCTCTGGGAGGAGTACAGGGCATCTTCTCTTGGCATTGTTTTTGATAAACAAGCTATTTTTATGGACTCTGGTACCATATTTTCTAAAGACTGATTGCAACTTTCTTGGCCGGAATCGGCAGGTCAGACGTCCAATATCCAGAACTTGGATATTGGAAGTCTGACCTGCCGATTCCGATGTTGGTAGATTCTGATTTTCTTTCTTTCTAAGAACTGTTAATGACAGCATACACAAACATATTTGGAACTTTTGTTTTAAACCACTGGAAACTTGACTTGAAATATAAAAATACATACATGATAAATACGTAGAAATATATATAGAAAATCTAGTTTTCAAACAGCTCATTTGACTGATCACACCATTTTTCAGGACTGTGATCTGATCACACCCTTTCAGCTCAAATAGCTTTATTTTGCTTTGAATCACTAGCATTAAAATGTTTTGCTGCCATGGAATAAACTACCAAATCTATCAAATGGGCCCTGCTTGGTAATAAAACTAACTTGAATAACCAGCCAAATAGGTTAAACCACCTAAATCTGTATTTTTGTGTAACTATACCTCTCTGAATATGGCACTAATCGTTTAGCATTTTCCATTCACTTACATGAAATGGTTAGCATAAGCTTTTCTATGTGAAACGTTAGAGCTTATTTTCCAGTACCAAAGTAGTCTGCTAGTTATCTTGACTAATCAGATAACTAGCAGACCAGGGTAGACCACCCCTATTTGTGTTTTTATTGAGTTTTACCTCCCTGACTAAGAAACTAAGTGTTTTTAGCTTCTTCCATCCACTTACATGAGCATCAGCTTTGCTATGCTACATTTTTGGGCTACTTAGCAACTCAGTGAATAATCTAGATTTCACTGGTTTAACCCAGTCTGCTACTTAGCTTAACACAGTAGCTCTAAAATCATGTGCAGCATGCATGCCATCCCATGCCATTTGTGTCGCCATCTCACATGCGTGTAAATTTGATCGGCACAGGACTGGCTATATCTGAGACTGACTGGCTGGTCACCGGTCATGTCTGATCGGCTGATTCTGGTCAGCAACCAATCGATTGGTGTATCTGTATCATTTACATTAGATGTATAAGTAAAATTCACAATGTGAGTCAGTTTTTCAATTACAATTTTTTTTGAGAATCAGAAAATGTTTGGAGGGCCAACTGGCACCTTATCAGGGTTCAGATTAGGCCTGCAAGCTGTTGGTTGAGTATCGCTGTAGTAGGCCCACAATTATGTTACGCTGATTTAGCTGTTGACACTTTACTAAAGCTACTTCACCAGCTAGTGTGTTTGTTGTTAAGGGCAAATAGAAAAGAAAGTAGCAGACGAAGAGGAAGGTTGTCTAAACCTGTGGTTTTCCTTGTGAGTCACAATTTTGGCACAAGTGGTCCCTGTGAAAACCGCATCAATGTGTAGCAAAAAGATAGCCAGCTTTATAGCTTCTATCTTTAGCTGTATGATTCAGACCAGTGCTTTAAGGCAATGTTTCAGAGAAACATTTGTTCGTCAGTAACTGTTAATTTTAGCCCCAAATGAAATGTATACAGTTAACATAAAAATGACGGTGTCTGGGTGAGGTCTGAGTAGAAAAGAAACAGATGGATCCAAAGAGCTTTGATAACAAAATGCAGTTTTTCACACTTTTATATTATCTTTTTTTGAATGTGTCAAATTTCTAATCAAGCACTTTGTTGGTACAATAATGTTCTCAGTTTTAAAAACAAAATCTAAGTCTTAATATGAAAATACTGGGCAAAATAAACACAACCGAATAATCAGGGAAACAAAGGTGTTTTATGTTTATTAACTTCTCTTGTTACAAGTAGGAGTGTTTTGGGGATATTCAAGCCACAGTTGTACATTCAGTCAACAAATCAATGTATCTAATGACACAGCAATAAACTTTAAGAATAAATAAATGCCTGCATGGTTGGTATTCATAACACTACATACTATGGGACTTTCCTTTTGACAAAGAAAAATGTTCAACACATGTTTATTTCTATTCAGTGCTATAATGGCAATCAGAGGAATGTCACTCAGAGTTTAGACTCTTTTCAGTGACTCTTTTTGAGTTCTCACAGTAATGCCTAATAAAAACGTATATTTACAGATGAATTAAGAACATTGTAGTGACTTGGTGACACTTGGTGCTTTTCTTCATCGTTGTTGAGTTCCTTTGTATTCTGTGTTCTCTGTCAGAGAGATGATTTTCCTTAGCTGGTTGTCTCAGTCCTCCATGGCTTCGATTGAGATGTCCGCCCTGTTGGCATGGAACAAACAACTGATTCTGCAAGTTCAACATAACACCAAGGTAATGAACTTTTTTATTTTATATACCGCAAAGGCAAAATAGGTAACATGCAACTGTGAAATTGCATGTTACCTGTTACAAATGCAGACTACCCCTTTTTGCATATGGATAAGGTGGGATTTATATCTAATGCATACAGAAATAGCTATTGTGCAACTTCCCAGTCAGCAGCCATGAGACAATCTAACAAAATGTCATCTTAGAGGTGGAGCAACAATGATTCAAATGTAATATTTAATCCAAAAGCAGCAGGGTTGTAGAGGGAAATGGTGCACTCACTCGTGGACCTACATCTATGCTTATTTCATAAGACCTCATTAAGTTTATGATGCAAATGCTCGTCTAACAAACGAAACAGTCCTGAGATTATTTTTTGATATAATCATCATGAACTTGAATCATGATGAGTCCAACACCGTAGTGTTGAAATTAAGTATTCATTTAAGAGGTAGGACATGCATTGTAGCACCTTGAAGTAGTAAACACTGTAAGATGTAGCGAATTAGAGGGGATCTCACCTGAGCTAAAGAGGCTTTAATCCAATACGCTGTGGTTCATAAAGCACACAAACACACAGGAGAAAATATAAGCAGCATGTCACAAACATCGAAGCTACAGGCAAATCCATGTCTTTTCATAGAGACTGTAATATACTCACACTTCTGCTCAGGATGCAGCAATGACATGCAGGAGAAGGATAAAAGGGGAGGACCGTGACATGACACAGGTTAATAAATCCGCACTGTGTTTTTGGTTTAAGTGAAATGTCTCAGGAAGCATTTAACACTTCACTCACCTGCAGGTTTTGGGGACATCAGAGTGAGAGGAAGCTCCACAGTGACATCGCTGAAAGTGAAAAACAAGGTTATATTATTAGAAATACACAGAATAGTAACATACATATTATTTACACTAATAACATGTGAACACAAATGAAAGAGATGAATATTTACCTTCCTGTTAGGCCACCCAACAGGCTTTTGGTGAGAGAGCACAATAAAATAAACCTTTAGTCTGCACAATTTCAAGTTTTTATGTGTGAATATTTTCTATCTAGTTAAGCCTTACCCTCCGCCAGACACCATCAGATTGACCTTGACTTTGTAGGAGATGATGATTCCCTGCATCTCCTTGTCTCCTTGACTCCTGTGAGGAGACAGGAATAGTTTACCCTTCACACCTTGAGGATTTGGTCTAAGACACGTTAAGTGGATGACACAGTGTAGAGTTGTACAGCCACCACTTCTCAATAAGAGGATGAAAACCTCACAAGATGAGAGACCTCGAGTGGCTTACAGAGTAGTTGATGCAAGGTGGGTGTCTTCGTCTTTTAGCCGTCCGTCCACCGCAAGACCCCTCTTCTCCTTGTTGTTGGCCAGCAGGGGGGTGACTTGGAAGGACTTCTCAAATGTAGAGTTGGAGTTAATTGTCTCCCTGTGTGTAGCAGTGTATTGATTAGATTTAGGGGTATCGCGACGTGAGAATATACTCTAGCAGAGAGATATTTAATTTAGTAGAAAATTCTAATTCGTAAATTAATTAAATTGAAAATGAAATCTGAAAGCCTTACCCAAACTCCTCACAGCAGACTGGCTTGGTGTAAGTGTCAGATGAGTACAGCACCACGTTTGTTAGCTGCTCAACTAAAAATGAAAAATAGCTCTGTTAGAGTGATCAGTTCAAATATATTACTCTTGTTCATATATACATACACAGACACACTTGAACCCTTTTTCGTCTTCTTTTTCACTCTTATGCGCTAGGTAGAAAACACAATTTATTAAGGATTTACTGTTTGTAAACAGTATCACCATGGAAGGTGCAAGTGGAAGCAAACCCCAAATTGGCGGTCTGGTACCTGGTTGCAACCTTCTTTTAAAGAGTCAACCTCACCTGCGCAATGTGCTCAAAAATGTCCCGATCACAGCAAAATAAGAACATACAAGCAGAGGGTAGAGTCTCTGCAGATAAATACACCCCCACACACTTCTAGTTGGTCATAAATGATGATTGAGAGGAGTTTTTGCATGATTCTATATACTGTTTAAAGAAAATCCTGTATATTATACCTTTAACTTTTATCAAGCTTTAACCCCATCCTCACTGCTCACCTGAAATTTTGATTTTCTTCACAACCTTGGTGGTTTCGTTGTTGATTTTTACCTTCACGGCAATTGGATCTCCATGGTAATAAATCTAAATAAAGAAAGAATTCATTTGAAATTATTCATTTGGCGATATTAGCTATATGCATATGATGACAGAAATACAGAGTGTAGACTTCAATGTACCTCTTTTTCAAGGGAGGCCTCCAGGTGAACTGGTTTGTCACTCATCATGAACTGCTTGGTGATATCAGCCGTGGGTCCTGCCTTGTTGCTGGCTGGTGCAAACTGTATTTTGCGAATCATCAGACGACACGTGTCCCTAAGATAAAAAAAAAAAAAAAAAGACACAAAGAGGGTCATGGTTAGCCCTCTATTTTGCTGCAGCTCAAGAATGCAATACAAGACTCGTCTGACAACGTGGTTTGACTGTGGGCGTACATACTTCTTCTCAATGACTTCATCTGCATTGTTGGCTGCGTTGGCGACGTATGCTTTAACCTCAAAGTCCACGCCACAAGCCTACAACAGAGCATAACCCAAAGATGAATGTGTTTGTCGAACATTTAAAGAGTGAATGAAAAGCAGTATTGAAAATGGACAGTAGTGGTACCTTGCCAGAATCATTTGGTGCAGGCTGTAAGGCGACTGAGCATGGGAGGTTTGCCGGTATCTGAGACAAGTAGAAACAAGGCAAAATAATAAATAACATTGGGGACAGCAAAGGTGAAGGTTGCCCAATTAGGTGTTTGACCGGACAGGATTTGATGTGTTATGTAAAGTGAGATGACTCCTCACCTGGAAGGAGAAAGGACATCCTTGCTCTCCAACTTTTTTCATGAGGGATTCCTGCATTGGTGATTTGGCTGTGTTTTCACCTGTGGGTGGATACACCTGAACACGCTGTATCCAGATGTCTCTCCTGAAGGACAGCCCAATGACATCCAAGTCTTCGCTTCCATAGCGGAAGGCACACGCAAGGTAGACAAACACTGCAATGGAAGGGAATGTTTTAAGTGTATTTTTGTCTTTGTATTCGGGCTGAACAATTAATTAGAATTTTATCAAAACTGCAGTATAGACTTGTCTACTGCTATAGGAGCAACATTGGTCAAAGGCAAAATATGTGTCAAAATACTATTCTGAATTAAGTATTGTGCTGCAGAGATGTCCAGGCCTACAAATCATATTCTACAGACTTAAGAAAAAAATCTTTGTTTGGGACAGATCCACATAATGACTAGTTTAATACCTTTTTTGCCGTCAAGACCAGAAGGGTCCACTTTAACAACACCGTCTGCAAATGAGAGGAAAGCCAAAAGCATTAGAACACACAGCGACCCGTGTATGTGCAAATTTGAGGATGTTAAACCAGACGTTGTGTCACGCACCGACTACTTCCACTGAATCCACATGGTCCACAAAGTCTCTTTTCCCCAAGTACAGGGCAATCTGGGAGAAACAGAAAAAAAATCAAAAAGGAAAACAGTTACGCCTCCGCTGAGGTTACAAGAGTTTGAAAGTTATTTCTGGGAGTTGGACGGGCTACATACAATATGCACTCCTCCCTATGCCTGAGAGGTGCCCTGTAATGACTATATTATAGAGGCCACTTACATGTCCGTTGCCGGCGGTCTTCTTGAATACCCTGAAAAGAGAGGAAAAGTAAAAGGCAGTGAATCACTGTTATTTCCCCCTTTAAAACACTTTTAGGCTCACTGGATGTGTTAAATAAAAAACAAGACCCTTAGGACAAAGTCTTAATGTCCTCTCAGTAGTTTCTTCCTTTAAATAACTTTATTTTCTCTACTTCTAAAGTGGTCTTAGGCGATAATGTTGTGCGACGACCGCCTCCCATAGTTGTCATTTCCAATTATAGGATATCCCCCGAGCCCTCCACCTCACTGCTGCATGGATTAGCGCTCAGGATGGAAATGCACCTGCTGGCACAGGTGTCTGATCTGGACGTAGGACATAACTGTGATTTGGTAAGTCAATACATTTTGCTTCGTGACATGTAAAATGAAAAGCTTAGAATTTAATTAAAATTGTGGTTTATGAACTCATGCATGGTGCTTGGCTAGATTCATAGAGGTGGCATATTCCTGAAAACCTCTTGAACTGATCCAACATTTCAGCTGAGAATAGACCCATGATACTGAGTGTTGAATATTTCTTGGTACACGTGTGAAATTCTGAATCAATACACCCAATTTTTCTTAATATTCCCAGAGTTACATAACCTTGTGAGGACAATCCCTTTGCTTCACGCATATAGCTGTAAACAAACAGGTAATCCTCGGTGGTGTTTGCCTCCTTCGGGTGTGTGCCAAGTAATCCCTTTAAAACTTTTCCCCTGTCTTGTAAACCTCGCTTCCAAGATCAAATCCACACAATCCACCTTAATCAGGATTTATCCGCATCCTGGAAGACCCTCTGCCAAGATGTAACATATACTGAAAGCCACTGGGCTTCTTTCTTATAAAGTTGTTATCCACTTTGATCCCAGCGTGGATCATGATGCCTCAAGTTTCAAAAATCAGGTTATTAAATCATAAAATCAATGTAATGCTTTAAATTTGAAGTTACAAGATGAATTTAAAGATTAAGTTTGTTTGTTATTTCCTGTTTATTCTGAGGCGGCATAAATCATTACGATTAGAAAGGTGGAGCTTCATCAAATGTCTTTTAATGGAATTTCCAATGCCCTAAGCAATTCAATTGAAAATGTGTAAACCTAATGTAAACCAGTTACTGTGTCAGGATAGCTGCTGAGTCAATAAGAAAATGAGCCAAAACTCTTGATACTCACTTTGACATGTTGATTGGAAAGTTATGAATCCAGTCTGCAAATAAAAACGATGAAAAGAATGGGTTACTAAATCACACAATTCTGATAAATCTTTGATGATTGGATGCATGTTAGTTTTGGATTTAAGGTCACTCTTAGTTTATTGTTTTTTAGAGTCCATCAATGACTTACTCCTGCAGCAGGACAATCACAATTTCTGAATAACTTCCTACTGTAGTAGAAAGAGTACTTTTTTGACTTTACAAGTGATTTAAGTAAAGAAATCAAGAAATAATATTCCTCAAACTTGCCGTAATCTTGTTTCTGTGAGATAGCTTGAGTTATCAAAGTGTCCTGTTGGTAAGCAAGAGAGACATTTCACTTACCGTGCCTTCAGTTCTGTCAATGACTCCTCTCCGCTGTCCTCTGTAATCCCACACTGTGGACGGACACCGTGTCGTGTGCGTGAGTGAGTGCCAATCACCGCCTCCCGTTTGCTTATAACCATGACCTCCCGACCTCGGAGCCCTCCCCTCAGCTTACCCAGCCTGTCAACGAAGGTTGTTACAGAGAAAATCTGATTAATTCATTAGAACTTTACTGTTTGGGGCACAGCGTGTGCAAAAATAATGCTGTGTATGTGACTGTCAGAGAGTAGGCTCCGAGACATGGGCAGTTTTGGGGGTGGGATATGGAGTGTAATAAACAGGCCGTGTCCTGGAGTGAATCTATATTGGTCACTTGGTCTTTGTTGGTTTTTGGATCAGTCTCAGATTTATCCAGTGTATCTGCTACAGAACATGAACAATGTTGTGTACTCCACATTGTGCTAATACAGTCCTCCATATTTTCTTGTAGCTATTGCAGGAACATGTAATCATGAATGAAATCAGCCTATTAAATAACTTCTTTGCTGTAAGCTGTGAGATGCTATTAGAGTCACTGAGTTTAAAGGATTGTCTTGTGAATGGACTCTTGAGAATGTTCAAGGATTTCCTTTCTTATAGCTTAGACAGGAGTAGAGTGGTATTAGTTGGATTTTGGTTGTTATGGTAGCCGGGACGACAGATGGCTCCTCTACCGAGCTTTGTACAATCTGTGCTGGTGGCAGGTTTACAGAAATCTTGAGTGACCTGCTGACTTACTGGTATGCAACAGGGCTTTACAACAAGTACCACTATGAGTACAAAATCCTCATGTAAATCAAATTCACTGTTTGATGGTTGTCATTTGGGGAGGAGGCCGAGGTTTAGCTTGACTTTCAGGTCTTTCAAAGGACCCACATTCAATGTCAGTGACCTTTAGAAGACACAGAAGACACAGAGCTATAAAGGTAGATCCACTGGATTGATGGCGGATCCTCTCACCTCCACAGTCGGCTGTAATTGATTAATTAAAGAGGTAGCTGGATGATGGGTTTTGTGGATGGATTGTCACACCATTGCAGTCAAGAATAATGAATTAGATTATTGGATGTTGTCGTTGGACTCCATTCAACCGTCATATGGGGACAAGGTTCTGAGATTACTTTAAAGCTGCTCAGGCAGGGCAACGCTGCTGTACGTTACCCTGAGGGATCATCAGCCAAGAGTTCACGGACGAGATACTGTTTAATTAGTACATTAAAGAGAGAGAAAAACAACAACAAAAACAGCTGATTGTTGAGTCTCACTCTCAGTTCGTTAAATACTGACAACCTTTGGTAGGTTGTCGGAGTGAACCGCCAACCCAAAGCGTCGGTATTTGACATCCCAAGAATGAGACTTAACAATCAAGTATCTTTCTCCAGAATTACCGTAAAACTTCAATTAGTAGCCCGGGCTATTATTTGCGTAAATCAATGAACTCAACAGGCTTATATTAGGGACGGGCCTTTAATTCCTTTACACAAAACTGTTGCTCAGCAAAGATCAAGAAATACGATCAAACCAGTATGAATATAACGTTTATAAAAATTAGGCTTCAGATAACATATCAATTACATGTTATGTTGCAACACTTATTTCACAGCACCCAAGACAACACCACTATATCTTGCTAAAACAATATTCATAACTTGGATTACGTTTTATGAAACATATTTTTGATTCTTTCATCGGTGAACCCTTATGAACTAAAGAAATATAAATAATTTACCGGATAATCGAGGAATGGACACATATGCTGACTTTATGATAGCTTCAGAAGAAGGGAGTCACCACTTGTTTTTTCGTCATGCTGGTAAATCTGAATTAATTACGGTCTTCTGTGGTGCTCATGGTTTCAGTAAAATGAAATGAACTGAGCTAACAATGTGTAGCATCTCCATATTGACAAAAGGTTTAAACATTTATATTTGTTAGCTAACTAATGTTAGCTCAAGAGGGTAGCCAACAACTTGGTTTTATACATCCGAAGAACTTTTATAAAAATGAAGTGCTTGGCAACCAGACCAGGCCTTTAATTGAGACAGGCCTTTATAATCAAAATGTGTAGCTACACCAGGCTAGTAAAAGGGACTGGGCGTTTAACTGGGACTAGGCTTTTAATTGAAGTTTTACAGTAACTTGCAGCTTCACTATTTTATGTATGACTCTAATATTCATGTTAGTGCAACAAAAATCTGGAATAGATAGGACCTTTGGACAGCATTAGACTGCTGTAGTGTACCAAATGTCATGGTAAGAAATTCTATCAAACAAAGAGTGCTGATATGTGGAAGCAGTGACTTTATTCTAACACCAGTGCACCACAGTTTGGGCAGGAAATGGTCACACAACTTTAAAACTGACAGTGCTCAGGTTTTTCCCATAAAGTGCTACGCTTCTATCACCCCATTTTGGAAAAGACATTTAAAAGTGACAAAGCTGTCTTGTGTGGCACATCACTCACAGGTGTTTGTATAAGAGTTTGTAATGTTCCTGAGATATCAATTTATTCTGTTTTTGAATATCATATGCCTTTGAATATCCATTTTTAAAAGGTTTATTCATAGAGGCAGTCGCTATGACTTTTAGCAGCACTTACAAAATTTAATCATTGTCCTATTTTGGCTTTCATGAGCCCCAGTATGCCAGATCATAACACTATAGTATAGAGTAAATAAATGTGAGGCGTTTCCATGCATATTTAAAAAATTATATTTAAATTTTTTTTAGCAACAGTTCTCCAAGCTGTTCTGTCAGTGCTTCAGAAATGGAACCTTGTTCTAAGTATTTTATTTAAAATAATTAATTGCAATGCATCTGTTATCTTCTGCTCTGTGTATTCTATAATCCGCATTTACAGTTATTCTGATACAGCCTCTGTGCGCTTCACTGGGCAAACAAAACCACATCTGGGTTGAAAGGAAACAGCACGGCTTTACCCCTCATGGGCATTTAATTAAAATAGATTTGCTTTGTTAACTGACACACCCCATCAAAGCTAAAGAAATACTGACGGTGTATTCATACATTTATTCATGGGGCTCTTGGGGTGAAGACAGGATTAAGGTTTGTGTAATTGTAAGCTGTTTATGAACTGTGAAGTCAGTGAATGAAAGATAACTTCATATTAACTCCTCTAATGGGTTTACCGAGTCAAAGTGCAGTTCTTAGACAATGTTACATGAATCAGAGCAAGATACCTGGATATAAATGCATTGCCCCAACATTTCAGATCATCATTGTGATGTGATGTTTGTTATATAGTGTAGCTACTGCACATAGGTCTGTGTGTTGGTTTACTATCCTGGATAAAGACGCTTAAAAACGTAGGCCAATCTTATTTTCTGTCTCTCTTGGGGTTTTCCTCTTCCAGTTTTGTCTGTGTGAGGTTACATTCACTCACATAAGCCCCTTACACTTAATCTGGTGCCATTTTTTACAAGCTCTTTATATAGACAGTCAACATAAACTCTCAAAGGGACTGCTGACTAGCCCCGGTTCATTACAGCACCATGGTATTACCACTTCTTAACAACACAGTCTTCAGCGTGTTGCTAAATTTAGGCAGTGGTGCTGTTTGTAGCCAACAAGGGACAAAATATTCTATTAGATGCTGAGCCAATCAGTGCTTCCGTCTGACTGATGGTGAACTCTGTGAAGAGCTGTCAGTGTAACCTTCAACAAAGATTTTTTGATGGCGAGTAGTACAGCAGCATCACTGATCTGAATGATAAATGCACTTCACAGACTGAGTATAAAGTCAGTGATACGCAGAGCTTACCTGCTGGCTTTCTGCAACTCCCATGTGACCTTTAGTTGCCTGTATTTTTAGCAGCTGCTACTCACAAAGTCAACTCAACTGATGCTGTAACTTTAAAGGGTTGTTGCCATCAGTCAGAGAGTGGCTGTTATGAGGACAACCAGAGCACTTTTTTACCACCCATTTCTTATTCATGACGTGGCTTACACAGGGATTGCGTTCTTTTAAAAATATCATTAGCTGTAGGGCGTTGTTAAACTTTAAATGTTTAATTTGTTATATTTCTGAGATTTGAATTATGTCTTACTGTTTTAAAATGTCTTTATTTTGATAGAAATCAGCTCCTTCCTTCACCAATTTTTGTATTACTTTTTAAGATAAACAGCATTTTGCCTCACCTGTTATATAATCAAAGCCTGGCCTGCTGCCTGGCCTTGATTACATAATAAAGTGTAATGTTATGTATTTCCATGAAGGTGCTGTTTAATACCAGCAAAACTACAGCTCTTCAAACATTACTGTCATCCAGATAGGGTGTCAGACTCGAGGTAAATCAAACAATGCTAATTATATTCAAAATCTGATCTCACAGCCGGTGTGAAAGATGAAAGTGAGCAGGCGGCTCTTAGAAATGGAGTACATCTCGCTGTCTCAGTGTCTGTTTCAATATCATGTCCAATCCAGTGCTTACGTAAGCAGAGCATTTGGTGAAACTGGAAGGAAAAGAGAGAGAAATCATCTCTCTGTAAACAGTGTGATTTTGGTACTACTGATGGTGAAGTCTTGTGGTTTTTGGTAAATGTTAGCAGCCCAATCTTCCTCAAAGCTTTTGTTCTAGTTTCAGTGAAACCTTTCTGATTCCTTTCAACCAAAGAAGTCATGAATAACTTGCTCATTTAGCTGTGATTCATCCACTTACACTTTTTAAAACCACCAATAAAAAGAATACATTTTTCTATGTTCCCAGTGCCAGTGTTAAAGGGGACCTACTGTACTTTTCCTTGTTTTATGTTTTAGGGCTGTCAAAATAACTCTTAATTTTGATTAATTAATCACAGAAAAAATATTGCGTTAAAAAAATTTACTCTGCTTAATCACATTTTATGGTGCCCTTTGACCCGGTGCGTCATTGAAGGCCACAGTGGCTTTGTCATATGATGGAGGCAGACAAAACGATGCTGCTTGGCCCAGATGGAACTGTTGATAGGAGCACCGTTCTCTGCAATTTCTGCAATAAGGAATTTTTGTACCATCAGAGTACTTAAAGCCAGAAATACCACCACAAAGCAAAGCGTTTAGCAGCGAACCTGGAGGTCCAAGCTAGCACAGCCTCTGACGCTAATGCTAGCAGCCAGCTTCCTCAAGCCACACTCGACCAGGCATTCAGACACAAACTAAATAAGTCTAACTGTGATCGAGTAACTAACTCCCTTACAAAATGGACTGCAATGAAGTACAGACCAGTTTCAGTGGTAGAGGACAGGGGGATATTGTGTCCAAAATCTTAACGTCATCAACTACAACACGCTCCCTGATTTGCTGCTTACGTTGTCAGCTATGGTGCAGATCCCTGATTGGCTGCCATTACATTTTAATTTCTGGAAAATGTTTGGGGTGGCTGCGAGTCAAGACTGATAAAGAGAGCAAAACAGAATGCTGGGCTCACGTCATCAGGATGGTCTTACCAGGATACCGATATACTCTGTTACAATTATCCACCTGGCTGCAAGTACTCTGCTACATGTAGCTACATGCTAACGTCAGGGAAACATGTAATCTTGGTTGCCCTTTATAGTCATTGCCCTGGCCACAGCGACAGTGCAGAGATGCTGAGATAGGGAAAGACCCGGACACACTTAATAATCAGAGCGGACAGGGCTTTTGTGGGAGGGGGGCTTAAGGTGACAAACAGAGCATTTCAGAATACAGAGCCCGGTCTCACGCCAAAGTGGTCAAAATCTGGTGCTTGGGCAGTGACTTACGGCTTGAAGAACCAATGAAAAAAGGCGTCCTTTAACGTCGGCATGATACCCGGCCGGTTGCTGTTATAGCTTAGCAGCACCCAGCAGTGTTGGGGGGGAAATGCGGCAGGACAAGGATGAAAGTTAAGGCGGCGAAAGTCTGAGTGGAGCGGGCGGGAGGGGTGGTGAATGGGTCCAGCAAACACAGACTTTCACCCAGGAGAGCGGTGTTCACGTCCTGTAAAATTCTAAAGCCAAACCCCGTTCTTTTTTCCTAAACCTAACCACGTGCTTTTACAGCCTAAACCCAACCATGCGTTTGTTGTTGAAGGAAAAAAAATATCAATTTGTAGTGTTGTACTGACGTAATACGTTTATTTTGAGAGACACTGTATGTAAACGTTTAACTTCCCGTGAAAACGGAAGTGTATCTTGAAAGAAGACAATGCATGTAACAGGCAGAACTTGACACGGTGTCCCAGAACGTCAACAGCTAACACACCCAGGGTGCCTCGCATGTTGTATGTGGACATGGAAAGTCAATTACCAAGCACGTCAATATGTGACGAGGTCAGAGTGAGACTTTGTTGGGATACAGGTGTCTCAGCACAGACCGTATGAGGACAATAAAGCGTTCTTGGAAATGAAATAATAGAAAAAGAAAAATGTTCTAGTGGTAGACAACGTCTGTCGTTTGGCTTGTCTGTCCACTTTGGTCCAGACTGAAATATCTCAGCAACAACTGGATAGATTGCCATTACATATTATACATACATTTACGGTCCCAAGACAATGAATCCCACCAACATTGACGATCCCATGACTTTTCCTTTAGCACCACCATGAGGTTGAAGTATTTGGCCTTCTGTGAAATGAAACTATTGGATGGATTGCCATTAAATTTGGTGCAGTGATCCATTGTCCCCAGAGGATGAACCCCCCAAAAACCTTTGTGAGACCCTGATTTTCCTAGTGCCCCAAGCAGGTCAATGTTTTCACTTATCCAGTGAATTATCTCAACATCTATCAAATTAATTGTGTACAAAAATTCATGGTTCCCAGATGATATATTCTACTGGCTTTGGTGATCTCCTGACTTTTCCTTCAGCTCCACCATGAGGTTGACATTTGCGTTTGAGTAAAATGTCTTAACAGCTATTGGAAGGATTGCTGTGTAATTTGGCACACACATTCATGTTCCCCTCAGGATGAAATGTAAAGACAGTGATTTGTCCAATACTTGTGTTTATGACTAAATATCCCCATCAGCCTTGTACTTGGTGTTTAGTGCTAATTAGCAAATAGTAGCAAGACAACACACTAAGATGGTCATCATGGTAAACCTCTCTGCTAACTGACAAATATCAGCATGTTTTCATTTTCATTGTGAGCATGTTAGCATGTTGATGTAAGCATTAAGCTCAAAGATCCGCTGGACAGACTTAATGGCATGATACTGTATATCTTTCAATTATGTGCTGTAAAGATATGTCATCAGATTGGGATGGACTTATGTCTATTTGTTTTATGAGGCCTGCGGTTGGTGGTCCGCACATTTCTGCTGAGTAGTGAGAGGCAGAACAGAAAATCTGGGACTGAACAGTTTCCCACAGAGTTCTACGCTCCAGCTAATGGAGAAGGAGGGAAGTAGGAGGGCTGAATAATGGGCGATGTTCTAGGAGGGCAAAAATAAGAAAGTGAAGGATGATCATAACCATATGGAGGCTGCTTTTTCGCTGAAAGGGAAGGAGTGAGCAAGAGAGGACGGGAAGTTTAGGGAGGGTGACAAAAAGAAAAAAAGCTGGGACAGGAGAAGAAGAGGGTGAAAGAAAGTAAATATCCCTGCCAGAGGATGAAACGTCTAAAGATAAAGATGTTAAAAAAACAAGGAAGAAACTGAGGATTTGCCGGGCTGCTCACCTGTGTGTGGTAAGCTGTGTTTTGTTTGGAATTTGAGAGCTGGGGGCCGAGAGAGGAGGAAGACAGGGAGAGGGAGAGAAAAAAGGAAGCACTCTGCTGTTTCACACACTGCTGGTGAAGCTGAGCCCCTCGCAAGAATTCTCCTGGCTATGTCCGCCATCTGGAATGTCGAGTCACTTCCTCTGTCTGCCCTGCGCTCTGACGGGGTTGTCCTCTGCCTCTCATGCTCCCTCCCTCTGCTCTGACAGCACTCTGAAGAACCGCTGGAGACACACGCCAGCACGGACGGGACTCTACTGACAAGACACACACACCAGCACACAAACATCCAGCATGAAAGCAAGACCCCCGGAGTAGCCCACGTCCAACTCAGACACACTCTAAATGGAATCTGGGCCTGGAAGAAGCAAAGACAACAGCAGTCATCAGCTGAACATTTTAGAGGGTGTTTCTATTCCCTTATATGGCAGCAGAGCTGGGAAATCATTTGAATTAGTCTGGTTTCTGTTGCATGCCTGTCTGGTTTTAGTGCTGACTGAGTTCCATCTGGTATGTTTCTGCCTCTGCTGTGTGCGTGTGTGACTGTGTGGGTGCCGTACGTGCAGCTTGATTTGTTTGTTTTGCCATTCTTGGTTCTTCTTTTCCTGTTGTTTGCATGTGGGGTTTTTGTTTTGGGACGAGAGGAGGGCTTGTGTTTGTGGTTAAGCTAGAGGCATCGTCATTGCCTCAGGGGTGGCTGCTTCATTCAGACTGAGCAGCACCTCTCGCTATTTTTCCTCTACCCCCCTCCCTCTGCCTCCCTCGCGCTGCTGTGATGGTCTGTGTTTGTTGGAGCAACACACCCACCTGGGCGCAGCAACTCACAACCAAAAACTGAAACAGGGTCTCTCTGAACACGGACATTATCTGAAAGGTGGACTGGAGCTTCTGTGGACTAACCTCGCAGTCAGCTGGATGTTTCTCCTTTATTCCTACATTGCGACAGGATGTGTGACCCTGAAGGACCCCACAGGGGCACAGGAAGTGCTAGCTGGTACAGACAAAGTGATGGGTTGTCTGTTTGACACTTTGGTCACGAAGAAAAGGATCATGGGAAAGTTCTAAACACTAAAGAAGACTACTCAACACACTCCTGCACTGAATGAGTCAGCCAGCGTGATGCCATCTGAGCAAGTCTGACAGTTGAAATTTGTTTTACGTCAAGTTCCTCACCTGATGTGGATTATTTTTATGAACATATCTCACAACATTGATTGCCATGGCTACGGCAGCATGGTATCATCGTGACATCAGCCGTGTGCATGCAGAGGACTTGCTGGCACGGGCAGGGAAGGATGGCAGCTACCTAGTGAGAGACAGTGAGTCAGTGCCAGGAGCCTATGCATTGTGCCTGCTGTGAGTATTCACACGCTCACGTTCACCTACTTAAAGGTCCAGTGTGTAGGACTTTGGGGGATTATTTACAGAAATGGAATAGAATATAATAAGTATGTTTTCTTTAGTGTATAACATATATAGTGTAGATGTGTTTTCATCACTTTAGGATGAACTGTTTACATCTACATAAGGAGTGGGTCCTTGTCCAAGGAGATCGCCATATTGTGCTGCCATGTTTCTACAATGCCCCAGAACAGACAAAACAAACACAGGCTCAAGATCACGCGTTTTTGTGTTGGCTGTGATAGTTAGCGGTCTCTTCGTGATGTCAGCGTTGGAAGAACACTGATTTTTTTACATTTCAAACTGCTTTATTTGGTGCTTTTCACCTGAAACTAAAAACTGCTGTGTTGTCGTTACCTTAGAATGAGCCGTTACATTTACATAAACAGTGGACCCTCATCCAAGAAGTCCGCAATGTGGCATGTTTCTACAGTAGCCCAGAACGGACAAACCAAAAATTGGCTCAAGATAGGGCCATTTGCTTTGTTTTGTGTTGGCCACCCTAGTTAGCAGCCTCTCCGTGACGAGAGCATCATAAAAACATATTATTTTTTATATAAAAACTGCATTAGACCTCTGCGGATAAGTCAACTTCCCGATTAAAAACCTTCCGAGTGTCTTGATCCTAAGTTATCAGACAGAAAAAGATGAGTTCACGTTAGCATGTGCCGGGCTAGTGGCCTGTCTCTGACATGCCGAACAGCATTGGAGATACACTGATTTGTCACGTGAATCTTCTTTGTTCAGTGTTTTTACCAGTTTAAATCACCTGGTCCATTTTTTTTTGTTTTGGAGAGGAGGAGACCTCTGTGGGTAATTTGGCTCCTGGTAAAAACCCACTGAACAACAAACACTGAAGGAATCCTAAACGGGAGCAGTTTCAGTTGGCTGCAATCTGCAATCTGCAGTCCTCACCACTAGATGCCACTAAATCTTACACACTGTTCCTTTAAAGGACAGCCAGCTTATTTTACCTATTTTGCCTATCAAACTTAACCTACTTTAGCTATCATGATCTTAGACAGTACGTTCTGTATGACCTCCTGTGAGCTTTTACTGTTAATGCATTTATAAGTGTACAGCTCTTGTAAGTGATGCAATGTAGATCTGAATTTAAAAGAAAAGAAAAAGAAAGGGATTGTGATTCTCTGCACTCACCAGAAGTCATTTTTATAGAAGTTGTTCACTGTTACTTTATATGTCTAATTTTATGTGCTCCACCCCCTTGAAAATACTTAATGAATGATTCACTCAGGATGTCTTGAAGTAGTAAATGCTGCCCTGTGTGAGAAGAAACACTTCTACTTTATGTAAAAACCATAACTAGTCGCCCTGAATCTGTGAAACTTTAAGATTTCGGCATATAGGACTGGAAAGTATTCATACGATTTCTACAGAATGTCCCCGTCTGTAAATTGATTCAGCAGCTTTGCTCTCCCTGTCATATCCATCACTTTCACCATCATCTGCCAGCAAAGAATGGAGTGTTGCGTACAGGCCGGGCCAACCTCCAGACTCCAGGCAAGTCACACCGTCCTGTCCGAACACAGTCCCTCTCAGCCAGTCAAACCCTGGCCCAGGACTCCCTGTTTCCCCTCTTGCCCCTGTTTCTTCCCTGGGGCCCCTGGAAGAGGGCGGGAGCTCCAGCGACCGCACTACGCTGACTGCTCATCAGCCTGAGCCAGATACATTCCTGAAAGCTGAGCCGGGCCGCTCGCAGTGCTCCCTCTTTCCTTCGTTCTTTTCTCAATATGTCATCCCCTCTTTTAGTTTCTTAAATATCCCTACACATTTGATTCAGTCATTCAGCTGTCATGGCCCCCCTTTGTTCAGGTAACATACAGTAGCTGACTAATGGCTTCATCTTTACGTGCTGCCTGAAACAAATTCCTGTGACGTGACTGATGGAGATGATGATCTAAGTGTCTCTCACACATTGTTTAATCAAAACAAGCCACGTCATTAGTGATCTGTAAAACAACTGGCGCCTCGTTAAGAACGTTACAGTGTCTTTAACTACAGTTAGACATCTGGTCCTTATTTAGATGATACGTTTAAGTACATTTTCCCTTTGAATGTTTGTTCTGAAGTGTGTTGTAGTAATTTGCAATGGCATTAATAACAGGGCTATTTTTGGTTTTCACAGGTTCCAGCGTCACGTTCACACCTATCGTATTCTCCCCGATGCAGACGGCCTTCTAGCAGTTCAGGTGAGTGTTCATCGCCACAGGGCACTGACTCCTCGGTCTCACAGGAAAGAGAAACACAATAGATGTCTTGGCACAAACTGTACACACTGAGAGAGACACAGGCGGTCAGATGGAGTTAGAGGGATAAAACAATGGTTTGTTATTGCCTGTTGTACGGAGAACAGGAACATGTTTGTGTTTCCTTTCTGTACAGGCTCTGTTGCAGTGGAGTTGTTGCTTGAATGGCATCTCTGCCATGTGGCCGCATGCTTGCAGCATCGGCTCAGCAGCACAGAGGAGAAATTGTTTTTATGTCTCAGAGATTCCTACTCAACCCACATACTGGGTCACTGACCAATGGGTGTGCTTATTTGTTATGTGTATATATGGGGGTGTTTGTATTAGACATAATGAGTCTGTTGGATGTGGCAGAGTTTGAGTCGGTGATGGTGTGTGTCTATTTTTGATGCTCTGAGCAGGGGGCCATTTAGTCAGCAAATGTCCTAATTATTCAATGATAAAAAAACACGTACATGCACAAAGTTTGCAACCCCGCACACACACACACACACACACACACACACACACACACACGCACACACAGTGGGTGAGAGAAAACGAGAGAGTGACAAAAATAAACAGTTTCAGGGCCTGAACCACTAAGCATCTGTGGCTTTTTTAACTATGTCTGCATATTAAAGTCCAATAACGAGTTTAATAATGATTGTCTGGCAGTCGTCTTTAAGCCTCTGACTTGTAAAAAAAAATCCCCCGCTTTCAGATGAAGACCTTAAACCCTTGTTGCTATTTCAGTTGTGTTTCCACTGCCATCAGTATAAACCTCCAGTACGTATTTTCCCCTCACTGGATTTGCTCCACTAACTCACAAGTAGCATGCTTGGCTTTTTGTTTTTCCAAGATGGCCATGGAGATATTTCGGGGCCCATTTTGTCTCTCACTGTCTCTTATTCCTTGTCATTTCTTTTTAATTGCTTTTCAAGAGATCCTTGTGGTACCAAAAAAATACTATTTGAAGAGTTCCTGGCACAGCAGAGTGGTGGCTCGGGCCAAAAAAACGGTTTCACCACAAAATGAAAACAAAAACTTCTAAAAAGAGGGCACAGGAAAAGAGCTAGCTCGGTATTGTGGTCTAATGTGAACCCTGCTGATTCTGTGCATGTGACCGATAGCATTATGAGTTTGTATGCACAGCACCTGTGCTTATTTAATCTGAATTTCTGCCTGGACTGCTTTGAGTGCCAGTGAAGTGTAGCCGTGCAGGTTTTTGTTGGATGATTTGAGAGCAGCCTTGCGGCTTGAATGTGTGAACGTATGCATGTTTTTACTATGTTTTTTGGGGGGTTTATTAGACTGACTTGGATAGTTGTACCACGGTGAAACATGACAGCCAACTGCTGCTGCTGCTGCAGCCAGGAAGTAGCTGTCAGTGATGTCACCTCTCCTGTTTGGCAGATCTTTCTAAACCCCCCAGGGATGCTTTTATCACACAAAATCATTTGCATGTGTCTTTTTCTGTCATGCAAATAAATATTTCTGTGAAGAAGATTTTGGAGAGAGGGTCGGGGAATTACCACCTAATTATACAAATTAGAATTGGACAGTTATTTCACTTTGTGTTTGATTCCATGCAACAAGACATTCAGATTAATTCAAATAGCATAGTCGGTCGTCCAGGGGTATTTTTTAAAAAGATTTTATGTAAAAGACTTTAATCATTTCTGTTTTCTAAAAACATCTGAGAACTAAAAACGAGAAGTTGCAATAAAATAGTATTTAATGGGGCCTTAACACTGTAGGTCCTCATGTCATGTATATACTATCTCTTTGTATCATACGAAGCATGTTTATCTAACACAAAGAAAAAGCTTAAATGTTTTAAACTGTTTTGTATATATCCAAAAATATGTTTCTGCATGCAACACCAGTGTGTTGTGTAGATCGTGTCTGGTATCCGCCACAGTGCATTTGTTTATGGTTTTTGTGGTCTTTCCAGTTTATGTTTAAAGCAATGACAAACTGTGAGCACGCATACGTGTTTGTGTGATTTATACAGTAGATATAGCCAGTGACTTCTGACATGTGTGTGCTTCTCTCACAGACAACACAGGGGGTTCAGGTGAACTGTTTCCGGACACTGGAGGACCTAGTGTTGGGTTACCAGCATCCCCACAAGGGCCTGGTCACTCCTCTGCTCTACGCTGTTCCCAGAGATACAGACACTGGGGATGAGAGCTCAGGTGGGCCCTCTAGCTGTTGTCACAACAAATCACCCAACAGTTAAATACATTTATGTTTACATAATAAAATGACACAAACCTATGAAAAAATGTGCTCCTTTTAGGGCTGCAAATATGGATTGGTAATTATTAATGTGTCAGTCTCAAAAATGTCAGCTCTGTAGTCACTGGTGGAAACAGAAAATGTGGTTTAATACAACAGGTCAGGAGGTCTGGGGCAGCAAAACAAACTATTGTCCTTTTAATAAAGAAATCAGGCAATTATTGGCCTTTTTTCCATCATTCTGTGAGAAACTGTGATCTGATTTTATGCTACACACGGCATGAGTCGGTTACTGTGCTAAGTGAGAGGTGTGCAGCCTGTCGCCTGCTGCTCTTCCATCTAACAGCTCACTGCGGCTGCTGCTCCTTGTTCCATTATTCCATGCAATATTTCAAACCTATCCTCTGTCAGCAAATGCCAAAAATGACCATTGTCTTGTTTTATGGACTGATTTTGAGTGAGTGCTAAGCTCACTGAAAAACACGTCACTATTTCTTTGACCCCTTCATTATGAAAGTCAGCTCTTTTTTAGCCAGTTGAATGCTTTCAATGTTAAGATGCAGCAGGAGGAAATGTTCAGTTTGCTTTAGCTGTAACTGAATACAGCATTTTTTCCACAAAGGTCACCCTCAACACCGAATTTTTTTATACTGCAAATAATACATATTGCAATACTTTCATCAGTGGGCCAGTGGATCAGTCACCATTGTGTTACCTCATTCAGTGATAGCAACTTAAAGATTCCGTTTGTAGGGTTCATGAGCATATATTAGCATAAACGGTATATAATATTCATAACTATGTTTCTATTAGTTTATAATCACCTGAAAATAAAAATTGTCTGCTTAGAATAGGCTGTTTATACTACAATTGCAATGGAATATCGGTTTCAAAGAATACTGTGATAAAAAAGTTGACATTATATTGTTTACATTTGCTTACCTACAATATTGAAAGAAATGCAACTGGACGTTGAATCTCCCTCAAGGGGAGACTTTTTACACGTGCTTCCATTAACAAAATGGCTTCAAGTTTCAGTTATAGTCATAAAACATTTGTTCAACTAACACTAAGCCTTCCGTTTTCATTCCTATAAGGGTCATTCTCACTGATAATAATATAAATTCTCTACTTCCGTGATACGTATAACCACGATATTTTCTGAGATGCTTATTGTACCATGAAAATCTCATACTGTTTCAACCCTACTACAAACAAAGTGGGTCCTCTTCCATGGAGACCGCCATCTTGTTTCTATACTCTAGGCTCTAGATTGGACTATTCATGTTTTTGCATCTGCCACCGTAGTTCTCTTACATGCTTGGCACACGGGAGAAGTTTCAGTTGGTTACCAAACTGCAGCTTCACCACTAGATGCCACTTAAGCCTCTACACTAGACCTTTAACAGACATATATTTGAATGAAAATCTTCAGGATTATTACACTGTTTGATGTCATGTTTTATTCATGCACAGATGATGAGAAACCGTCTCCAGTTTCAGCCTCTGCCAACACAGTGCCTGTCACAGGACCACCAGCAAAACCAGCCCCTCATGCTCTGATCCTGGATAAGCTGCAGGAGCTGAACACATCCAGGTATGATTATCTAGAACAACTGCAAAACGGTGATCAATTGCCACAAGATGTTCCTTGCATAGTGCTTATCTGTGCTGCAGGTGTAGCTTTTCTAAATAATCTTTGTGTTCTGTTTGAGAGCTGATTATTCTGTGTGACAATATCAGATTACTTTATAGATGTGACTGTTTATTGACTTGAGGTGATTTATGATGTCGTCTGTTCTGTTCACACTGTTTTCTCATTTAAATATGCATCTGCTAGCAGTCAAGCATAGAGAAAACATCATGTGACACACTGATTTGACTTTTTTTTGGCCTATTAATAAACAGTGTTGATGTGCTATCTGCTGTGTGGTTTTTGCTCGCAGATCAAACTTAAGCAACAGTAATATTCAGAGAGCAGAAATGACATGCACTGTTTCTGAAATGTTGACTGAATTCTGCCTGTTTTATCCTGTTTACAGCACTGCGGGTGAGGTGATCAGCCTACTCAATGACTACCTCTTCAGTGAGCTGCCTCTCGACATTGAGAATGTGCACAAAGGGGCAACGACTATGTGCCACCTCAAGCGCACTCTGGGTACTGCGTGCCAAGGCTTAAACAGGTTGGCATGCTTTTATAGCGATGAACCACACTTAAAAGCTAGAAGCAGTTTGCAGATTTCCAGACTGATGATGCCATACACTGATATTATTATTTACTAAAGATATTAGATGCTACACTTAAACAGTGGTTCGCGGAGTGACCCGCAAATGTGTCAACTTTGTCAAAAACACACTTTGTTTTGAAGTGCCGTGAAGTTTCGGCACAGAGGTGTTATTTTTAAGTGCCGTTTTCCTGCTGAAGAGTGAGTGACTACTGATCAGCTACGTGACAGCAAACTAGCTCGACGACATGGCCAAATGCAAGTATGACACTGAATATATTAAACTGTGTGGACCTTGAACTAATGATGAAGGACAAATCTGGACCCCGTGGCTGGACCAGTTGGGAACCACTGCACTAAAATGTATGTAAATAGATATATGGTCATTAAACAAAAGTTTTGATGTGATCTATACAGTGAGATTGACCAGACTCTCTCAAGTCTGGAAACCCTGGCCAAGGTGTTCGACCATCCTAGCTGCTCTTTAACACACACTAAAGCACAGGTATGATACAAACCATGCAGCATGCTTTCTGAAGAGCTGTAACTAACTGTAACCCAGTACTGTGGGGGATAACACATCCATATACATCAAGTCATTGTGCTTTGGTCTTGTATTTTTGGAACCAGGGCCCAGAGATGGAGATTGACAGCATTTTGTGTAAGATTTCAGCGTTGGTCAGCCTCCTTTCTTCGTTGGAGAAAAAGGTATATATACAATTACGCAAAGTTACCTGTTTATGGGTTTTCTTGATAATGGCAAGATTCATGAGTGATGAGATGGGATGGAGTGAGGAGAGGAGAGCCTTTATGATAATCTCCACAGGGAAAAGTCAGGTGTTGCAGTAGCACAAAAACAGAAATAAGTACAGATATATAGGGAAGTAAAATTAAATTACAAAATAAGAATAAATAAAAGAAGAGGTACACTCTAAAAAATGATTCATTGAGTTAGTGGATGATGCTTAAAATAAAGAAGTTATTCATCATAAAAAAATAAACTATTCAAGCCAGTTTTTCAAGAAGTTAATATTTTTGATAGGATGGGATTAAAATAAATAAATTAGAATATCTTAAATAAAATAATTTGTACACTAAACATCACCACAACTTTTGGATAAATATTAGGTGGGTTCAATTTAATTAAGCTTTTGGAAATCAAAGCAAAATATTTTTGTGGATGTACTAAACTAGTTGAGTTTGTCAGATTATAAAAGACTCTAGTGAACTGCTTAAAAAGATGCATGCAAATTAAGTTGAAGCAATAGATTATTTTTTTAGAGTGTATATAAAACTAGTATAAGAATATGTATATGTGAAAATATGAACGACACAAGAGCAATTAAAGCTAAAGTTATGTGGTAAAATGACAAGTTATGGGGGTAGAGTGCCAATGGTGTGTTAGGTAGCAATGAGTCAGCAAGTCTGGTATTATGGAAACAGTGTACCAGAAAAGCATACAGTGTGTTTAAGTAATGAGTGATAATGCAGTGCTTTGTTGCAATACTTTTGCTCACAGTCTTGTAACTTTTAGTCACAGTGATGATGAGGTTTTTTAAAATAAAAATGCACAAACCAGTCTTGTTTTGTAATGACACTGCAGATTGTAACACTGAACATTCTCTGCTCCTAAAGGTATTGAAAGCATTACAAGACGCAGTGACCAATCACAATCTGGCAGTGCAGCCAAACCCGCCTCCTCCTGAACCAGCGCCCACCACCGTAACACCTGTCAAGAACCATGCCAGACAGCTGCCAGTCAACTCCTTTCAGGTAAATCAGGTTGAAAAACACACTTCATCTTACAACCAACAAAATGAAATAAATGGCCTCTTGTTTAGTTTCATTTTATTTTTAAAAAGTTGTGTTTCTTGGTGTGTGCAGGTGAAGATGGTGAGGTATGGCAGACAGACTGTTTCCGTGGACGTGGACACAGGAGTGCTGCTCTTTGACAGGAAGGCCTGTACATTTGGTATAGAGAGGGTCTCACATGACAGAAGTAAGAGACAATACACCTGTTAGTGTCTATAACCTTTCTCTCTGTTGCAGATATATTGTTTAATTGTCTGCTGGCTTGTTTCTTCATCAGTCCTTCAGATTGTCAAGTTCCAGAGCAGTCCGGCCAAGGTACGCATGGTGGTAGACAGCCACCACAACACACCGCGGGAGATGACATTTGAGAGTGCACGGGTAAGAAAGGATGATTATTTTTATTAGTAATTGGAATTTGCTGTTTTCTTTCCCATAATTCACCGAGTGGCTGTCGTCTCTTTCAGAAACGTGACGCCTTCTGCCAACTCCTCCAGCTGATGAAAACCAGACACTCTCAGCTGAGTGAACCTGACGTGATCTCTGTGTTCGTTGGCACCTGGAACATGGGTAACCATTAATGTGATGACGGTGTCTTTCACTGTCAGACAACAAGAGGTTGAATTAGAGGGAGACGTTTTTTTAGATTATTATTATTTACAGTTGTTTTGCACACACAGGTGGTTCCCCTCCTCCTCGCAGCCTGCAGGCGTGGGTGACCTGCTGCGGTTTGGGACACACTCCTGATGACTCGACTGCCTTACTCCCTCATGACATCTATGCGTTGGGGACTCAGGAAAACCCTCAGGGGGAGAGAGAGTGGACAGAGCATATCAAAGCAACCCTTCGCAGCTACACTCACATCGACTTCAAACAAGTAATTCTACTTTTCTATTTAACTTTTTTCAACTTGAAGTGGTGACTCTTATGTCAAAATATGATGCATTATCATACAGCTGCCATATTTTCATGGAAGAAGGATTCACAATTTTACATGCCCAGAATACTAAAAGGGGGACTCCACCAAAGTCTATTTATAGATTATGCATACATAAAAAAAAGTTGTATACAGCAGGGCAGTGCTAATTCAGTACTGTTTCTAATAGAGCAAGTAGAGCAACACAACACAGCACAGCACAGAGAAGAAAATAAATATACAAATTAATCAATACTATTTGTAAAGAAATCAATAAAATTAAATTAATAAATAAAATTAATAAATTAAAAAAAAAATCCCTGACAAACCCACAGGTCATAAGTAATATCAGAATGAATGATTTTCCAAGCAAAAAATAATAATATAAGCTTATTGTACTACCAGCACGAGCAAGGGTCAGTTCCTGTTATGGATATACAATATATTTTCCTTATTTTCCAATATATTTGTCAAACCTATCAGTACTTCAATAAGACATCTGCTCATACAAGGCTACTTGACCAAGTTCAGTGAACCAGTCCTGAAGGATGGGCACTGATATTTTTCATTAATGTCACTGATTTTAGTAATTTATTTTAGTTTGTGCTTAATGAATATATAACAAAAACGCACTACATTTTAACGTAACATCTCAGAGTGAAGCAACACCCACTATTTATCAGTTTATCTGAATTGAATTGACACATTTCTCCAAACCAAGATACATTTTGTTCAAACAACTAACACAGCTAATTCTTAAGATTAAAAAATAAATAAATAAACATTTAAAATTCATCTCCCAAATGATACTCTTACAGTAAGTCTGCAAATCAAAACACTGCCCTGCTGTCTAAACAGATTTGCAATTTTGCGAAACAAATACCTTTGCATGATCTAATTTTGCACAGTCTGATGCAACTGTTCTTTATTTTTGCAAAGTAAGTTCACATTTTAAAACAATGTACAACAGTACTTGGGTAATATGTTAGGCCAGCCAGATGAATTTAAACTAAGGATATTTTATTTGAACAGACCACTATATAAACATTTTACTTCTACTCTGTAATGCTGGGGTCACCCTGGCACTTTAGTCTTACAAAGCTTACGTTTCAACTTCATGTAAATCACAATCACTGCTTTATTCATTTTATAGTTTTGTACGTACAACAAGATCAAAACATGTTCCTCAACATTTCAAAGGACGTCCACCCTCAAGTGAAACCTTGTAACGTCACATTTGGTAGACAGTGTGCATTAAGTGTGAAGGAACATCAGGTTTCTGATATTTTGTCATCAGTGTTCTTGTGGGAATATATTTGAAAATACTATCTAAACGATAGATTAGAGTTTTGATATTTTTGTGTGTATTTGTTTTTACAAAGACATGAATAGAAACACAAACTGAGTGTCTGTTTCAGTGGATGTGTTTGACTGAATCAGAGCCTGACTTTATAGATATGTGTTGAACCAATTAAGAAATCTGTATTATGTGTTCCTTGGTTGGAAACTGTTCTTGCTACCTGTTGTAATGCAGAGCTTTGTCCTGTAGGTGGCAGTACAGTCCCTCTGGAATATGAGGCTGGCTGTGTTTGTGAAGCCGGAGCATGAGAGTCGCATCAGCCATGTGAACACGGCCAGTGTGAAGACTGGCCTGGGGAACACATTGGGTAGGCTGCCCTGTGTGATAAAGCACATACAGAAAACGTACAGCACCATAGCTGACAACAAAATGAAATGTTTTAAGGTTTGAGGTTGAGTGTTGTTGTTGTTTCAGGAAACAAGGGCGCTGTTGGGATCTCCTTCCTCTTTAACGGGACCTCTTTTGGGTTTGTTAACTGCCACCTGACCTCTGGCAGTGAGAAAGTCCTGAGGTACATTGCTAGTATACATGTGTACCACCAAATGTGCGTGCTCCTATTTAATTTCTATGCAGTATTAAAAATATTTCTGTCTCTTGTAATGTAAATGATGTTCAGGAGGAACCAGAACTTTGTGGACATCCTCAGGCTTCTTTCTCTGGGCGACAAACATCTCAGTGCCTTCGACATCAGCCTGCGCTTCACCCATCTCTTCTGGTGTGGGGACCTCAACTACAGACTCGACTTGAACGTACAGGTGGGACAGACTTTTTATTTATGTATTATTCATTGCTCTTTTTTGACAGTGTTTGGAGACGGGTTTGATGTTACATGTGGCATGATATTCATGATGTTCCTGCTTCTCTCTGCTCCTCACTGACTCCAGGACATCCTCAAACATGTATCTAAGAGAGAGTTTGAGGAGCTCATGTGTGCAGACCAGCTGACCCGAGAAAGACACAAGAGGAAGTCCTTTCTCAATTTCAGTGAGTTTCAGTTTGATGTTGACCTTTGTTCTATATTTAAATCCATAAAAACTTTATCAGACAGTTGATGTGTAAACACTTTAAGGCTATTTTACAGTTACAAAATACATGATAAATAAATAAATAAATACAGTACGATTTAATTTGACTTTCCATCTCTGCCTTTGCTTAACTCACTTTTTCTCTGTTTATCATGGTTAAGAGGAAGAGAAGATTGCATTTCCACCCACCTATCGGTATGAACGGGGCTCCAGAGACTGCTACCTGTGGCAAAAGTACAAGACTTCAGGGGTGAGTCATTTCTTGTTTCACAAAAGCACAAAAGCCCTCAATAAATACAATATCCGCACCTCTGAGTTGCTGCCAAAAAACTGTTTAGACACATACAAGCAAGACGTCCATGACTTCAGTGACATCAAGGTTTTCAGCAGCATAGCTCTAGGCATGGCAGAATTGGTCTGTTGGTGAGTCCTGAAATATCTCAACAACTATTGGATGGATTGTCATGAAATTTTGTAGACAGTAAGCCTTGTGCAGAAAGCAATATACATTCAAATTTTCTTTGGATTTATCCTCTTGTTTTTAGTACCCATTGATTTCTGGGATTTACCAGTGTTTTGCGCTTCTCCTAGGTAAGAAAACATTTTCAAGTGGTTAAGAACACTCTTATTGAGAGAGAAATCTTGTTTTCACAGTCCACAAACTGTTTGTCCAATGCAAGGAAATACAAGTTTTAAATTTAAGTAACATGAAAAAACCAAGTGGCAACCTCCGAGGCTGAAAAAGAAGCTAACACCAAAGTGCCAAAAACTGCAGTTCTTTAAACGGCCACTTGAGGCTGGCTCCAGACGCCAGTCAATCCCCGTTGACACTCATGTTAAAATGCCCAACTTCACAGCAGAAATAAACACGTAGACAGCCTGGTACGAAAAACAGTTTGGGTCTGTATAGCTAATTTCCTCCTTCATGACTACTGCACAGGATTGAATATTTATATAACTCACCCCTTTAAATTTTACTAAGGCTAAAAGTTATGCATAATTAAGGGCGGGCCACTTTGAGTGACAGACTTTCTGCAGATAGTGTCCTTGATTTCTCAGCCTGATCCACCCCTAACTCCTCCACAGCTCCACCCTCTCACCAAAATATGGTCACTTCTGGCTCCAAAAAACACAAACGAATGGGTGATATCACAGTAGCTACGTCCATTACTTTTACAGTCTATAGAACAAAAAATCACAGGTAAATATCTTGTAATCAAATTTAGATTATAATATAATGTAATAATAGTAATTGGATTATTAAATTTGTGGATTAAAAGAAATACTATTGGTCCACTGATCCCAATTAAGACTTAATGATGATGACTGGATGATAATGAGAGGCTTACATACTGCTCTTAGATGCTTTTGCCCAAGTAGAGTATGTGTTTTTAGAGATCACACAGATTTAATTGATAAAACAGATGAACGGCTGCTGACCGGTCCAAATTGCCAAGAGCGCTGCTTTTAGATATCTGTAATACCCTAAAGACTTAAGGGTATTCATTTCCTGGCAGTTTCACTTACAGTGCATCCCTCTGCGGACTTGACATTTACAGCATCATAAATGTTTTGCCATTGCTAGGTTTTTGATTTTTCTGTAACACCAGTTATGATGCTTTGGTTAAGTTTATTCACCAGTACGTTAATTTCACAGCTGCTTAAGGTCTTCTTACAGCCTTTTCTGGTGGCATCTTTCATCTTGGGCACAACACCTGCCCTTATATAGTGTTTAGGGAGCATTACCTAGGGTAATAGGTCACTAATGATGAGGTGGGATTCATGTTTCAGCCACCTGGGTAAGAGCAGATTTGGACGGTTGAGAACAGTTGGTGCATCCGGAGTTGACTTCTGTTATTTCTTCCCTTTAACAGAAAATTAAGAGAAAATGTAAGACAAGTTTAAGAATAAAAGAACAAGTACAGAGCCACTAGCATGGCTGCAGAATCTTTGTCTTGCTTATATTAAAGGTGCTGTATTGAACTCAGGAGAAAGATAGCTGACTGTTAAGTCTTATTCCCAGGTTATCTAATACCTACACTTTGGGTTAGTGGTTTGGTGCGACTACCAACCCAAAGCATCAATATCTGATAACCTGGGAATGAGACTCAACAGTCATCTGTCTTTCTCCAGAGTTACATACAATCCGTTTAAGCTCCTGATGAAGATCTGTTGATCCCAAAGTATGTTCCTATGATTAAATGTTTGCTTTTGGAGTCACTCAGTTTTGCATTTATTGCTGTGTTAATCACCTTCACATCCTGCACCTGTTTGTCTTGATCATTTATCTAAATGACACCGCTGTCATACTTTCAGCCTGTAGCTTTATGTAGTTTAGACTCTGATGCTAAATCCAGTATGTAATACATACTGTCCCAGCAAAGCACAACTACCCTACAGAGACGCTCTAAATATACAGTTGACTCACTTCTTAAGATATTTTTATGCGTACCTTAATCCTATGCTCCGTAGGGATACAGAACTGACAGCAGCAGCCACGACCACTAAAAATAGGAGGTTAAGAGTTAAGTCAGAGTCTAAAGAAGGAACGTGTGGCATAACAGGAATGAAGGCATCCTCAACTGCATACTGTTTCTATTTGTAGACTGACAAACATACAATACATTGTTGATTTATAATCTGTGTCTGTAGGTGCGAGTCAATGTTCCATCATGGTGTGATAGGATTCTGTGGAAGTCCTACCCCGAGACACACGTCCTCTGCACTGCATATGGTAAGATGTGGAGATTTAAAATATATATATGACTCAAAAAGCTTTAAGTAGAGAAGGAAACAGTTAAATAAGATGCAAATGAAACATATGAGAGCAGCACAGAGTCTTGTCATAACCAGAGGTTTTGATGCAGCACTCTCAAATTAGATATCTGTGGTCATTTTTTTTTTTCATTTGTGCCACTGTAAAATGAGAGCAGCCCTCAAAAGGAATAACGGTCGACCCCTACATCCTGGTCTGTGGTCCGTAAAAAAACAGAGTCATTTCCTCCTATTCTGCCCGAGCTTTTGTTTCTGACTAACCTCAGCAAACTGTCAAAACAAAACATACTGTGTAGTAGCAAAACTACACTTTGTCTCTTAAATCACACTTTTGTCACATCCTGTGAAATATCATTGACAGCTCGTCTGCCTCACAGCGCTGCACGGTGATTTCTGCAACAGTGCATGTGAGATATTTAGCGCTATTATTACAGTTACGATAATAAAGTACCATGGGTTTGTCTCTTACCAGGTTGCACAGACGACATCTTCACAAGTGATCACTCACCTGTTTTTGCCACGTTCCAAGTGGGAGTGACATCACAGTACAGCTCCAAAGCAGGTGATGTCATTGTTGTGGCCCCACTGGACACAAACAGATGGACTATGACTGAATCCCTTCATTAAGTGAACTGTATTGTGATGCGTTTGTCTCACACAGATACAACTCCAGGCATGGAGAGGGCCTGGATAGAGCTCGAAGGCATCGAGGCCATCGTGAAGACGGCGAGCAAGGCAAAGTTCTTCATTGAATTTCATTCGTCTTGCCTTGAAGGTATGATGTCGCACCCTATGAGACATTTTATATAAAGCCATTATGCAAAACGGTGGTAAAAGATTAATTCATGTCTTTCTCTGCAGAGACACGACGCTCCACAGAGAATGACTCACAGAGCTGTGATGTCCCCGGGTTTCTCAAACTGGGCTGGTCCTTCAAACAGCTGCCGAAGGTCAGAGGCTTATTTGGAAATGGTTGAAAGTATGGTTTTGTTTCAAAGTCAGATTCTTAACATGGATTTTTTTATTTCATGTCTGTCACAGCTTCTTCCAATTATGTCCGACATGGAGTATCTCCAGGATCAGCACCTGCTGTTGTCTGTCAAGTCATGTGACGGTTTCGAGTCATACGGTTGGTCACACGGCAAATTAATTCTGTCTAATTAAGTAGTCTATTCATAATGTCCCTCTAGATTGGCTAATTAGGGCCCTTAAAGTAACAGTTTATCCAAAAACATGAAATGATTTTTCTTGTTTACACTCTTGTTAAATATGATATCAACAGGGTTCCCACAAATCCTTAAATAGTCTTAAAATACACTGACTTCATTCATAAAAAACTAAAGCCTTTTTTGGTATTAAAATGTTTTAAATCAATCTTTTTAAATTCTTACAAATGTTAACACATGGAAAGTAGGATTTTTTAAATCTTTTTTTCTGACGTTGCATTGCAAATTGGGAACATCTATTTTCAAAATCAATTTTCCAAATGCCTCACGCCGATCAGGATAGCAGAGCCAACGATATTAGTATTTTGTTTCCAGCTGGGAAGCTCAAATCAGAGGATCTACTGTTTGCTAGCTAGCATAAATGTATCAAGAGAACTGAATACAACATTTGAGGCAGGGTCCTGTTCATTCCTGTGAAAGTTTTAAGTGGTGCATGAAGCCAAAAAAGCTTGATTTCTAGCCCTCTGCTAACTTGAATGACGATAACATGATTTAATCACGTGGATTAAAAGCAAGCGTCAAATCCTGATAATGAAACAAGTCATTTTACAGAGCTTGTGACACTCAAAAAATGTATCCACTGATTTACAGATACTTCTTTTAAAATGTAACCCTATAGAAAAAGGTTTTTTGGTCACATGGCATCACATGACGGACTCAAATGTTGGGATTCCCCGTTTGGCCACTGTGTTGAATTGACTTCAAATCCTGGCACTGAACCCTTGACAACATGGGAAGTGCAAACTCAACAAAAAACACGTAACTAAGATTTTGCAGCATTGCCAAAACCTGTACGAGGCAATGCATACGAGGCTTGGTGAATTTAAACGTTTTTTAAACTCCTGAAGATGAAAATCAAAGCAGTGGAATCTCACAGGCAGAGTGAGAAACACAAAATCAACAAGAAAACACATCAACAAATGCCAGGCATCTCTCAGTTCTACTCTACCCTAAGTCATGTTGCATATTAAAATAGATATTTGTGCAAAATAACTAAGTAATTGATGTAGCTTAATGTTTTTTTTTAAATCATTGTCAATTTGGTTTTTTAATTTCATTCTGCCTGGCATTAAAAAGTGTCATAAAGTCGTAACTTAAGTCTTCTGGCCTTAAACTTTATCTCCTAATCTAGATAGTTCCATAATGTTTTGATACTGTTTGAAGATTTCATTTTGAACTCCAAACATTTGTATTAAACACATCTCGCAAGAGCTGACCTGTGAACAGTTTCACTGATGACTATTTTCTACCGAGAATACTTTCAGTTTTTTCATTTCTATGCAAAAGGAAGAATTACACATAGCAAAGTGTATGGACCACTGTAGTTTGAGGTGATGAACTGCGAGTGTTAAAGTATAAATTTTCCTCTAAGTGCTCCAAATGAAATGTAATTAACCTTCAGAGTCATTGAACTGTAGTCAGTGTCGAGGTTGATGGAAATCATGCTGAAACTATGTGGATGGAAAGGTTGGATACTTTGTTTCAGGGTGAAATGTTTTATTGATAAAATGAATAATCTTTTTTTTTACAGGTGAATGCTGTGTGGCTCTGCGCTCGCTCACCGGTGCATCGGAGCAGTTTGAGACATTTTTGAGTCACCGCGGTGAAGAGATGGGCTCCATAAGAGGACGGGTCAGGGTCCATGTGCCCAAGGACAGACGAGGAACTCAGGAGAAGACCTATGGTGGGTCAGCCGGAACTCGTCCTCTCCTACCCTTTGCCTCGCTTGCACTATCACTTCCCACTAAACTTCTATCTCTACTGTCACTGCATTCTTTCACTCTCCTGTGAGTCTCACATTGCTTCCTCTATTTGGTTCCTCAATGATCCCTGGCTTGGCTTTACACTTGCTGGTATCTATCGACCGCTTCCTCTTTTGGCTCCTGATTGACTGACCCTGACCAGATGCATCCTGAGACACTGAAACAGGACAGATGAGTATTATGTCACCAGGTCAGGCATCACAACAACACACACAAACACTGCAATGCTGTTTGCAAACTGGCTTGCCCTTTGGCCTGCACGCGCCGCACAGTTTGAGGAAGGCCAGCTTATTATGAAATGCTTTTCTTGTGATTTGACTTTTTCAGAGTGTTTCTATTTTGAGAAAGATGATAAAGGTCCTGGAAGAGGACACATGGCTCCTGCATCCACACGGGTCCCAGTAAACAGGTGAGGACCTCTTAATGTGTCTGAGCATCAGTGTAAAGCAGCAGGACGCCTCCAGCTCTCAAGGAAAGGTTGGGATGTTAGATTCACAAACAAAATGTTCTTTTTCACCGGCTCTTAAAGAAAAATGAGTTAACTTGATTTTACAGGCAGGAGTGAATCCAAAATCCTGTTTCTGTATGGTCTATGCACAGGTGTGCGTTAGAGCCAGGTTAACTCCTCAGTGCTGCAGATTCTTGAGCCAAAAAACGGGGCATTCATGAGCATGCACCACCTGAGCTTAAGGACAAAAGTGAATCAAAGGGACCAAAAGAATCGTCAATGAGTCGGTTTTTGTGACATATAAGTGACATGAACTGGGTTACTGAACAGAATATTAATCCGAGAAAAGAATCACTCTTTTTTGGAATTAATGTTTTGTTTTGGAGGTTTACAAATTATTTTTGACATTGTGAACACATTTTACCTGATGTGTTTTTCAACATAACCAAGCTCAAAGTTCTACCCACTTTCCACTTCATACTTTTATTTTGAAAAAAACTTTCTCAGAATATTGTTCCCAACTCCTGTGAATTGTGATACGGTAGATATCTAAATTATTCTGAAAAACCATGAATGCTTTTTTTACGCTGTATGTGTAGCGTTTTGACGTCTGTTGAGCCAATAAATGGGACCTTTCTTATGCGTTTCCTTATTTTCTGTCATATATATAATGTTACAGTGTCATAATGTTCAAATAATGAGGTAAACATATGTAGAAGTAATCTCTGTGACCTCAGGCCTCAGAGTGTTATGAATACTCTATTTCCAACAGTTCTTTTCTACATTCAAGATAAGGTGACGTCAGATTGTGACAGATTTCTTTTTATGGTCATCTGCTCCAGGCATGCTACTGCAAGTGTTTCGTTACGTAGCCTGTGTACACTGCTACATATAGCTACCAGCTGTCGTCATACAGATGTTGTTAATTCCTTCCCAATTTTGGATCATTTTCCAGCAGGAACATGTCCGGTTCTGTTAAGAAGTTTTATTGGTGATTTTCACTGTAGAAAATGCTGCTACTCTCCATTACAGTCATTCACTTGCAGCAGCACAGAGCTGCCAAGATACAGAAGACCTGATGAAGGCTGACCAATCAGAGCAGACTGGGCTTTTTCAAGAGGGGGGCTCAAAGAGAGAGGCACTAAAATGGAGCAATTCAGAGAGAGTGTACAGGTGCAGCAGACAGTACAAGGAAAATAAAGTGTTGGTTTTTTTTAACATTAAGGCCCGGATCACACAGAGAGTGTTTTAGCAGCTGGAGGCGGCTTTTTGTTATTGTTTTTAATGACTGTTTTTGCGTTGTGACCCGCCTTGCATTCCTGCGCTCTAGGCACTTGGCATTTTTGCCCAAGTTCTCTGAACTCCTGGAGTTGAAAAAACTTCAAGTCAGAGTGTATAAGCGCCCCACGTCATCTCTGTTTTTTTCCCATTGTCCAATTGGATGATTTAAGAGGCGGCCTTCTGTGGTAGTCACGACAATAAGTTTACAGTTGGTAAACAATGAAGGAGAAACTGCTGGCAGTTGCTGGATACCCAGAGCTATACAGCCCTGACTATAGACAGCAGGTTGTCAAAGCTCCTGGACCCGTGATCCACCCTCTTTTTTAGGGTCTCATGTACCCACACAGATCTCCGTTTCCCTGTGCTCAACACACTCTTTACTGACAGCCTTTCACCCTCAACCACAGCTACAGCAAGTACCCTCTGCCTGAGATGATGGGATGGTTGCCTGGCAAAAATAAAAAGGCGCAGCAAGTGTTTTTATGCTAGTGGCATTTGATTTTTAAAAGCATGTAAACATGTTCTAGTAGAGAACCTGAAAATGAGCATAATAGGGACACTTTAAACTCGTGTGTATTACTCAAACTGGAATCCTTACATTGTATTTCATCTTCTCAGTGGTAACTGACGCCACATGCCCAGATCAATACAGCTCTTTTTTTAGGCTCAGTGCCATCTTTGGTCTGAATATCTGCAACAATATTAACAGTGAATGCTAGAGAACACATTACGAACTCCTGTGAAGAAAGTGAGTGTGAGGTGAGGACACATTTAGTAACATAAAATTGTAACATGTATTTTTCATTGCAGGTCCTTGGCAGCTCCTCCCAAACTAACTCCGAGCAGCTACACCAATCCTGCCTACTTCATATTCGAAGGTGTGTCAGTGGCACGCAGGGTGGAGGAGGCTCTTCCTCAGCGAAGGGACCCTCAGGTGATCTGGTCTGGAAACGAGGCCTTGCAGCTCCCAAAAATCTCAGGACGTCCTGGCTTCGACAGAAGACCCTGTCGCAGATCGGACTTTACAGAGATTGAAATCCCAGCCGTCCTGCCCCAGTACACTCCAACCAACGACCTTCATACACCCCAAACCAACTCCTCTTATCAGCTTTTCCCTGCTAAAAACCCATCTCCCATAACACCACCCTCAAGTAACGCCGTGTCACAGTATCAGGAACAGACACCACAACCCAGAGACAAATACCAAAAAAATATTCTTCAAGACTCCATACTGCCTGAGAAGAACCTGAGAAACTTGTATATGAATCACTCAGCCATCATCAGGGAAAAAACAAGAAGGGATCAACATCAGCTTCTCCCAGAAAGAACCAAACCTATCCGGGCAGCCAAGGTGCCACCAGCTTTCCCCTACATCCCCACTCACTTAGGACACTCTCATTCCCCTGCTTCCTGGATGGCGGATCAGCAGCCCCCTGCACCCACAGGAGACAACTCCCTCACTGCTTTGCAAATGGCCAAGTGCCTCAGTGAAGTAGACTTCTTCCCCACAGAGCAGAGAGGCCCGTCCATACCCAACCAGAGGCCGAGTTACAGAAATGGCCCCTCCATGCATGGAGACAGAGGCTACGGCTGGGAGAAAGAGGTAGCACACAGCTCTCAAAGACAACTTCAAGAAAGATGTGACTCCTGGTTCTCTGTATAAACTCTGTCTGCTTTATCTCAACTCAGGTGTCTGTCCTGCAAGGTGCACCGGAGACCGTGCGGGAGCTCCTCAGTACTCTGGGTCTTCAGAAATACACCCTGGGACTCAGCCTCAGTGGCTGGGATGATCTGGATTACTTCAGGTAACATGAGTTTGGATACTATTACAGCCATTACAGTCACTGCGACTAAGACCATTCATGCATTGACTTCATCACTGAGACATGTGGTTGCAGCAAGGAAATTAATAAAGCACTCTAAAGGGGGAAATAGGCTTTCTTTGCTTTAACTTATCATCATGAAGTACAACTTGATTGCACAATGTAATGACTAATGACCCCCCCCACACACACACACACACACACTTTTCCTTTTTATTGATTTGTCCACAGAATACATTCTTACATGAAAACAAATCCCAATGAGTCCGTCTTTCCACTTCAAAATTTTTTGTTCAGCCACACCAGTTTTACTTCCTCACCAGACTCCTAAATAAACAAATATTGAAACCAAAACTCCAGTAATGTGTGAAGCGAAGGTAGAAACTGATTTGGTCTGAGTTCCCACACAACCCTCAAAACCACTTGGCCTCTCCTCCAGGATGTCACAATCCAGTGTAAATAGGAAACTTCCCAGTTACTAAAGAATTTCATTGTAAATTCTGTCACTGTTTACTGGCAGACAGTGGCACAACCGAAGTTGCTCGGCTCTGAAGAAAACCGAAAGCGATTCAGTTGTCTTTGTGACGGTGGCACCAAAAATCTTATTATTTAGAAGCACTAAGGGGGGGGGAAGTTGACAAGTTGTCTGTCTAAATACTCTTTATTGTCTACTTTATGCACGCAAAAAAAAAAAAAAACAGACAGAACTTTATCTGTGGTTTGCATGTGCAAAATCTGCAATCAAAAAAACAGCTAGGTTTCCACTTTACACTAGCTTTATTATTTGCAGTATTAGCTGTATCATTAAAGCTGTCACCACCAGGTCCCAGTGTTATTTCACACCACTGACCAGCTCTTCTTTCTTTTACAAAACATTGCTTAAGTTCTGCATCACTCTTTGATGCAATCACAAAATTAAATCACTGGAATACATAAATACATAAAACAGAAACTTGATGAGTAACTCACCTCTTTTAGTCGTATTTTATTCCATCCTTTACATGAGCAAAATATATTTGCTTGTAGATGACCTCAGTGTTCATAGGACAGTTGTAGTTCTGAATATATTAATAGCTTGCATGTGAGAGTTATGCCCATCCAGTGATGTAGTGGTAAATGGGTGTACTGCTACATAAGTGGGTAGGTTACCAGGGAGCAAGTGGGTAAACTATCCTGTATATTCTGTGTATGCCCTCCTAGTCTGCTCATCTGAGTAAGATCATAAATCTCGTCATGGTGTGTTTATGTAAAGATGTTCGCACCATGTGTACCTACAAATATTTACTGGACTATGAAAGTCTTTACAAACTATGTAAGAAATTAATATGAATGTCATTCTCTTCTCCACAGTGGTATCACCGAGGAGGATCTGCGCGCCGCAGGAGTGACGAACCCTTCACACCGACGCAGGATCCTCGAGAACTTGCCCAGGAACTGGAACTGACACACAGAGATTAAAAGCATTGCCGGCGCCTCGTAGCCTCGTAGTCTGCTCATTCAGAACTGGAAGAACTGTTCGAAACGAGATCTGAGAGCTGGACTTTACCACAGCCCTGCCGTCCTTTCATTTACTCGATCAATACTGTAACAATAGTTAGTCTGTGTCCACACAGCAAAGGGGAACATATCGCAGGAAGTACTCGTTGCAAACGCTGCTTTATTCATCATCCATCTTGATAATGAAAGCGGTGGGAATATGAATGGAAAACCTTGATGGGTAACTCCAGTTACTGACATGAATACAAATATTGATTGTGGTATCAAGATCTCATTGATTTTGTTTTAAATGAATTTTAAACGACTATAAAAATATAGTCCTTCAATTTCCAGCGTTCACTCAAGTGTTTACTGTTCACCTTCATCCCTTCCACTGTGTGCTTTCCATTACTCAGCTATTATTGAGCCTGGATCTGAGCTTGTAAAAGCCCTCTGTTAAACCTATGGAGCATAAAATCCATAGCTGTATATATCTACTGGAACAGCGTCTGTAAAGTTGGGATAGAAGGACCTGCCATATCTCATTTTGTTTACTGTCTCATACTGTTGCTATCATGTCACTTAATCAGCACCAGTGTCCACTGTGCATGTTTTATGCCACCTTTTATGAAGTAAAGTGCATAAAGCAACTCTTGACTGTCACTAAGCAATCACAAGTGTTATTTCATGCTGTGGAGCAGTGGTGGAAATCATTTCTTTCTTCCGGTGCAGTGCTCAAATCACATCATTACACTAATGCTGCTTGTTTGGAGCTGACATGTAGCCTACTTAATGGTCTAATACTGCAGTACATATGGGCAGCAAGAGTAGAGAGCTTGTAAAACCAGAGATGCAACAATATTTTACAAATAAATCGTGGAGCAAGTATTGGCCACAATACTTTGCAGATCCATGACAAAAAGATGATGCTTCTCTTTAAAGGGTAACTTTGGCATTTTTCAAATCGGACCCTATTTTCCACGTTTAGTTTCTCTATGTGACTGATTTGAACATCAATTTTTGAAATTGGTCTTGTATTAAGAGGGAGCACTGCAGCCGTTAGACACACAACACCTGCAGTCTAACCAGATGGGGCAATTGTGCATCGTCACTCTAAGTCCATTAAAGTATTTTTTGCCACAGAGAGACTGAGATAGTTATTGTAAGTGTCTGAAGTGTCTCTTTAGCTTTCACATGATCCAGTTTGTTTGTTATTGTGTCCAAGTCTTGCTCAAGAAGACGCCTTGTTGTGAAATCTCACAAGACTTGACTTGTTGCAGGAAGACAACGCTGGAAATGCAAGTTAGAGGCAATAGTGTGCTGTGCTGGAGTAGAGTAAGTGTAGCTTAAGCTCAGTTCAGACCAAAGATTTGCAACGAGGTCAATTAAAACATGCAACTACTTGCAATGCCCTGTTCTGCAACGTTCTAAAAACCTGCCAGTTCACACCAATGCCACTAGATGAGATGGTGTATTGTCTCTATGCAACAACTCTCTGTACTTCTGTTCTGATTTCCAGCTTTTCAGGCTTATTTTTTGTCTGAATATAATTTGTAGCTTCTTAAAATATGAATGAGGATAGCGATCGTGAGATACTGGCTACAGCTGCATTTGTAGTAGTGATGAAATATAAGTACTTAGTCAACGAGAATGCGTGTGTGTGTGTAAGGGGGCAAAACATACAGTGAGCAGCAGCAGTGACCCACCGTCCGACACTGGCACACATGAGGACGGCGGGGACAGAGCACCTGCCGCAGCAAGCAAACACAGCATCTTCATTTATTATGACTTGATCAGTGGACTTCCCTTCAAGTTGTTTAGCTGTAGAAACAGATGATGAGCTTTATGTTCTAAAACCAGCCGCCAGCGATTTGACCAGCTGAGTTGCAGGTGACACCATCAGCCAGCTTGAGTCGAGCTAAGACGGCCAGGTCACACCAGTGCAACTTTTCTCTGCAACATTCTAAAACGGTTTTGTCTAGTTGCAAATCTTTGGTCTGAACTAAGCTTAAGTCTCGCTCAAGAAGAAGTCTTGTTCTGAAATCTCACGAGACGTGACTTGCTGCAGAAAGACAACACTGGAAACCCAAGTTAGAGGGATTAGTGTGTTGTGTTGGAATATAGTAAAGGTAGCTTAGAGTTATGGACGATAATTTAGTTGATTTAATAATGTGGATGAGGCCTTTGAATTCGATGGCCGCCCATATTTATATGAGCCAGAGTGTGCGGATAAAGCGCTCCGACCAATTCAAGACCAGACAAGGGGAGAGTGACAACAGGCAGAGGAAGGTGAACCAGCTGCTACAAGGAGCCTGAGCCTGTCTGGCAAATATAACCACTTTTAATGGACAGTAATGATGCACAGTTGCCCAATCTGATTACACTGCAGGTACTGCACAGCTACCATCTGCAGCGGTCCCTTTAAATACTGGACAAATTTCAAAAATTGTTGTTCACATTAGTCACTTAGACACCAAAACGTGGTATATCAGGTCCAGGTTGAAAAAATGTTAAAGTTACCCTTTAAGCATTCTCGGCACCCATCGGCTGTACTCGGCGTCTGACTTCCGGCAGACGGCGGTACAGCCTCTGGGGGCAGACCCCCGATTTTTTGTCATTCCGGTTTGATTTGTGCGGAGGAGGCGAAATTCCGTTTCCGACTTCCGTTTATATTTAAGTAAATATGCTGAACCATTGCGATGGATTCAGAGTTTGCAGTGACACCAATTATGTTCCGCCTCGTTAGTTCACCACACGGACTGTTTAACCTGGCAACAACTGCAGCCGGCTCAAACGTGATTGGTCAATATCACGCAGACTACAAACAGCCTACAACCGGAAACCAGAGGCAAGATCTCCGGGTTTTGCCTACAGACTCTACATTCACTGAATGTAGAGTCTGTATATAGAGCCTACCCTTTAGGCAGCTGTCATGTAAGAACTAACACTGTGTGTTATTAGCTAGGTTTAGCCAAGCACCCCATAGTCTTTCTGTTTCTTTAATTTTTATGAAATAGTTAGTTCTTCTTGAGAAGTGCATGGTTGACTGATCAAGAACCTGCTTTTCCGCTGTTAAACAACTTGCACAGTTATGATTACATCAGTTATATTTGTGAATAGAGGGTGACTGACATGAAGTCAATGCACAAACATGTGAGAGCTGTATTTGTCAGCTCAGTTTAATAACAGACCACAGCAGCGAGAGATGGGACAATCTCATCCTCAACCACCAAAATCTCACACTCAGAGTGTGTGTGTGTGTGTGTGTGTGTGTGTGTGTGTGTGTGTGTGTGTGTGTGCGTGCGTGTGTGTGTGTGTGTGTGTGTATGTGTGTGTGTGTGTGTGCACACGTGTGTGTGTGTGTGTGTGTGTGTGTGTGTTTTTCCTTGTAACATTCAGTTGAGGTAGTTACTTATTATGGCATGACCAAACACATCCCTCTGACCTGACAGCAGGTACACAGGAGACTTGAGTGATGACATCAGCTGTAGGGGTGCTAGGAATGTTTGGAAACATGCAAAAAAGGGTTTGTCTTTTAGAACATGTTTAATTGGATAGAGGTTTAGATTGACATAGATTTTAGGTGTTTGCATAGCAGCATGTTTTAGTAAATGATTATTGAATTATGTTTGAAATACATGTGCATATGTTGACACAGTAAAGTTTAAATATCCTCTCCAGATATCAAAACCATGTTGAGCAAAAAGGTAAAATACCTTGTTAAAAGATCTTAATATCCTTCTTATTATAAAGTCCAGAGTCTCTGAATATGTAAATATCTGGCATTTTGAAAGTTTAACTCAAAGGTCCAGTGTGTAGGGTTTAGGGGATATATTGACAGAAATGGAAAATAATATAATGAGTATGTTTTCTCTTTCTTACTGTGTTTTTATTACCTTAGAATGAGCCGTTTATATCTACTTAGGGAGCAGGTCCTCGTCCACAGAGTTCGCCATATTGCACTGCCATGTTTCTACAGTAGCCCAGAGTGCACAAACCAAACACTGGCTCTAGATAGGGACATTAACGCTTTCATTTTCACCTCCGCCACCATAGTTTGCAGCCTGTCCACGACACACAGCGTCAGAAAAACACTGATTTGTAATGTTAAACTCCTTTATTTAGTGTTTTTTTTATGGGTTCAAATCACTTGGTATGCTTCTTTTGGAGAGGAGACCTCTAAAGGTTGATTCAGCTCCCAGTAAAAACCTCTTGAACAATGAACACTGAAGGAATTCTGACTGTGAGAAGCTTCAGCTGGTTGCAATCTGTCATCCTCACTGCTACAGTAGATGCCACTAAATCCACCTAGATCTTACACACTGGACCTTTAAAACTCTCCTACCCTACTGAAAAATCAATTCTTAGTGTTTGTGCACTGGAGATTACAGATTTTCACACAACCTTTATCATAGTTACATAATGAACCAAACCAACTAGTTATGAAGCTTTGTAATTACGCACATGTAACAACATGTCTGCTAATATCAAGCTCTGCACACACATCATTCTGCACAGTAAAAGGTCAAACATCCAGGATAAGTAATAATTAGCAAAGCACTTTATGACAAGTTAACTCAGAGATTTCAGAGAAAAAAGTTATTAACAATGGACAGATCAGCTTTGTTTGTATGTTGACATGTTTTCCATCTATGAGGAGCTGTAAACTGACGCTGTGCTTTGAATGGGTTTCTGAAGAAGAACATGCTTTGTCAGTGGCCCACTCACATTCCTGACATCTTAACCACAGAAACCCAAACAGTACACAGACACAGAAACTCACTCTGCTGCCTGCCACCAAGCTGACCCACACACACACACACACACACATGAACACACACACGTTCTTACTGCATCTATGGGGTGAAGGGATCTGGACTTTCCAAATGTAGGGTATTTGCTTTCACCTCAATTACTTCTCAAACTTTTACTCATCATATTGGGATTTCAAATCATTTTATTACGCTGAAGAATATATGTTAAAGGTCCAGTGTATAGGACTTAGGGAAAATATTGGCAGAAATTGAATATAACATAATAATTATGTTTTCTTTAGTGTATAATCACCTCGAATTAACAACTGTACTGTTTTTGTTACCTTAGAATGACTTACATGACATAGGCAGTGGGTCCTCGTCCACGGAGTCTGCCATGTTGCACCAGTATGTTTCTACAGAAGCCCAGAACGGACAAACCAAACACAAGCTTTAGATAGGGCCATTTGTGTTTTCGTGTTTTTGTGTTGGCCACCATTGTAAGGACAGGTTAAAACCTCCTGAACAATGTAAGCTGAAGGAATTCTAACTAGGAGAAGTTTCAGCTGATTGCAATCTGCAGTCCTCATCATTTGATGCCATGAAATCCCCCTAAATCTTACACACTGTTTCTTTAATTTAACAAAAGTGCCAGGATTTACCTGGTGTTAAACCTTTGCTCTTTGCATGTAAACAGAGTCATATTTTACATCTCTGTATTGACCATAAAATGGTCATTTAAGTCATATGTGTTTATAGTCGTTGGGTTATTGGAGGGAATATGATCTTGTTTGCGTCCGTGGGTCAGTCAAACTTTTGGTAACTTATTAAGTGAGCGCCTCACCTGACCTCCGTTTATCATCCACCTCTGACACCAGCATCGCTCATCCTGCCTGCTTTTATATCTTTATGATCAGCTGTTATAATTCCACTCCTTATCATGTGAATCTTACAGAAAAGCCTGAGATGACAAAGATTACAGAGGAGACACACCAGATGAACCCTCCCAGCTCCAGAGAGCAACTGTTGGGTTTTATAACAGCTGTATGGACTACTGTACAGCTGTGCAAATATTAACTTCTAGAACATTTCAGCATTGAGTGCTAGTAAACGTCGTTATGGGAATGACACAGATGATATTAATGGTGGCAAACATGGTTACATATTTTATTTGAGTTAAAGTGGCAATATCACCATGGAGCTCTGCTCCAAGCTCCACAGGTATCCCTCGTTAGCGTGCTGCTTCTTCATGCAGTGGCGCCCCCAGACAACCATTCACTCTCACATTCACACCTGTGGGCGATTTAAAGTCTCTGTTAAACCTAACCTGCATGTCTTTGGACTGTGGGAGGAAGCCAGAGAAAACCTACATTAGCCACTTTTACACTGTCTATTCAAAGCAGGTATATCGCACCATTATGCTGCCTTGCCGCCCTGTGTATAAGGTACAATTGCAGAAAGTGGGGATAAAGTTGTCTCGCCTCTGAGCTGTGAACGGAGGTAGTAACAGCCCCCAAACAAGGTCTGTGTAACACATAAAGCCAGAAAGATGTGACCATGGGGGGGGGGGGATGTGTGTCATTTTGATTACATATTATGTTGACGACCACACTGCAGGAGATTTAAAAAGCAGCTGTTAGCAATTAGCGGCTAACTCAAATGTCCACAAATTGGGGAAACAATGAGATTCAGGGGCTCATTTCTCTCCCAGCAGATGACAAGATCAGCCGCCATATAACAAAGGCAGTAAATGATTGTGACTGACATGTTATGCCATTGTTATGGTTTACAAAGTGCTGCTGACACATGTTATATGTCACACTTGAGGCCAACACTGTTGTCTTACATATCATGCCTGTCCCGCCTCTTTTGATTGCGGAATGCATTTATTTGAAAATAGCGGGTTTGTGCATTTAGTCCTTCTCAAGCAAATGCAGGGATTTAGGAACGATGCTTCAAGTGAGGATTGGGATTTATGCAATTCACATAAAAAAATGTTTAAACGTTTAAAGATCTAGTCATTACTAAAACTGTATGTCATCGAAGAGAGACAATAAAAACTAAAGTTATGGTCTAAGTTGTCACAGTGAAATTTAACGTGTGTTGATGGATTCATGTCGTCAACTCATACATTGTACCACAACAGAGGGGGAGCAAAAATGGGGACAGTACGGAACGGTTTCATTGGTACCATCCACAAGTTTTCACAGTGGAAATGGAAAAAATGTGAACCGAACCGAACTGTACTGTACTGGACTACTCGGTGGAAACAAGGCCAACATTACTGTCTTTAAAGCCTTGTTTCCACCGAAATGAACTGTAATGTTGGCCTCAAATTATTTTTGCCAGTGGGGGAGCCAGCAAATGTGTCAGTGGGGCAATGGCCCCCCTCTGGCCCCCTCTTGGGGGCACCACTGTCATCATGTGCTGTATGGGTTGTTGGCATGCAAGTATGATTTTGGTATTGTGGCTCCAGCCTGGGTGATTTATTTCATAATATTGCATTAATGTCATGAGCACATCATAAATTAGAGAATAAATTATATTAATAAGGTTTATATTTATCTCTGAATTGTTGTGGAAGAAAACAGTAGCACAATAATCATCTTTCAATTACTGCACACATTTTAATCCAGACAATTAAAAGAACATAACTGGAGTATTAAGAAGTTATTTATTTCTTTAAGTGTAGAAGTAGGCTACGTGAGAAGCTGCTGTGAGGGAAAAAGTAGCGTCGGAAGTCAAACTATGGAGTGGTGTTGATGTGTAAATGAGCTCTGTAAGCAGCCTCACGTGGTTCACCAAATTGAAAGTGACTTACACACTGAGGACTGGGCGGCAGTTTTGTCCACTCAGCAGAGAGGCTTCCCATCTCAGCCGTGCACTTTCTGCTCTCCATGTCCCTGCGCTCAGTGTCTCTGCAGCGCTGCCATGGACTCAAACACCACTCTCACCGATAAACAACTTTCAGTGTGTTTCTAATGTTTCTAATGTTCGCAGTCAGGACGGCTCAGAGACGAAGCAGGGCAAACAGAGAGGAGAGTAATAGCAGCTCGGCTGGAAAGTTACGAGGACTTCTGTGTAGCACCGGGACGGATCCAACCAGCCCGACACCAGCTCTGTTTTTGGGATCCCGGTTGGGGTGAGTAACCGCAGTGTCACGGTCACTCGGTTCTTGTTTGTGTGACCGAGGAGAAAGTTGTTCAACACCAGTTAAACTGATTATTTTTGACTTAACAGCGGTGCAGAATAACTAGTACATGTAGTACTTCAGGAGCCTACTATATTTAAATAGCCTACAGTTTGAGTTACATGTACTTTAGTCGAGAATTTACACTTTATTACTGTTACTTAAAAACCTCTTCTCCAGTGGTGGACTGCAACTAAGTACATTAAGGCTGCTCAAGTACTGTAGGCTTCTTAATGTACAGTTTTAAATACTTTAATTTTATATTACTATATACTTCTACTCCACTACGTTTTAGAAGCTACTTTTGTGTAGTATTGTATTATAGGCTACTTCACTACAGTTATTAGACCTTAACTTAAACTAACTTTAGTTACTTTGCAGATTTATAATACTAAATGTAATTAATAAATAAATTGTGATGCTTAATTATAGATGAAGACTACAAAAGCTACCCAGCTGCAACATTAAAGTGATTATCACATTAATGCGTCACTAATAACCAAAGTCTAATAATATATTATAGCCTACATTATTCTAAATTATTTTATGCATGATCAATATTTTAACTTTTGGTGCTTTAAGTGTATGTAAGTGATGCAAATACGTTGGTACTTAAAGGTGAAATGCAGATGGGCGATCACTGTTGATGCTAAATGTGATCAGTTGAAGCAATGGATTCCTCAGCCTCAGTGTGTTCCATATTGAATGACGGAAAAGCTGGGTTCTCCCATGATGCCTTGCGTTTGACCTCCTGACATAGTGTTTGATGACAAAAATACCCGCTCAGTGGTCATCTGCCCTCCGAGCCCTGCTGGTCATGGACATCTTTTCCAGTTTAACTTCTGGATTCCGAAAAGGGTCATCAGCACACCTGGGTCCAAGTGAGGGGTAAAGCATGTTTGTGTAGTAACCCTCACAGTGTTGGGGACAGCCCTCAACAACAGCTCTCAGCAGCTCAGGTTCTGGAGGGTCCCCAACGGCTGTATCGTATTTTTACAGCTGCAGCCTCGGCCTCTCTCTGCTGCATTTCTTCAGCCATATTCTCTGTCTCAAAAAAGTACGATTGACTAGCTGAGTCAAACAAAACATTATATCCTCATCCATAACAGCAGATGACAGGCTGTCATTTTCAACACTGGAAACGTAGTTAGTTTGCAATACAAGTGAAGAAAACTAGGAAGTTTGGGTTCTGAGCTTGAGCACGCCCCCTGATTACCCAACGTACCTGAAATAGCCTGTAGTTCTTTGTTCCTCCAACTACGTCACTGTCACGTTGAATGACGGCGCTGGATGCAGGAAGAACTACAGATTTTACAGCTGCAAACTCAGCTTTCCTGTTCAGTATAGCACAAACTGAGGAATTTATGGCTTCAGTCGACTACATTTACCATCAGCACTGATTGGACATTAACATAAAAGGTGGTTTTCCTTTAAGCAGAATTTTGAATGTAGGACTTTAACTTGTAACAAATTATTCATACACTCAAGTGTTGCTATGTGTTTCTTAAGAATCTGAATACTTCTTTCACCACTGTCAAACACAGACAACAAAATTAAACCTGACTCCTCAATGAATGAATTATATACCAAGAACTAACAGTTATTTTCATTATTGATTAAGCTGTCAATTATATTCTTGATGAATCATATGTTCTATAAAATGATAGAAAATCATAATTTGCAAGAACCTAAGGCGACTTAAACATGCAACAGTCTTATACCCAAAGAGATTCAGTTTCTAGTTATATAAATCAGCAGCAGTGACTGGTTGATACTTTTGCTTGAAAAACAAATGCACTCAAATTGTCTGTCAAACAACACATCAATTTATCAGCGTATCATTTTACTGTTAAAGGTCCAGTGTGTGGGATTTATGGGCATCTTAACTATGTTTTCACTGGTTTCTAATCACCTGAAAATAAGAATCATTGTGTTTTCATTACCTGAGAATGAGCTGATCCACAACTGCCATGTTGTTTCTATGGTAGCCCAGACAAATCAAACTCTTGCTCAAAATAGGGCCATTTGTGATTTTCGCATCAGCCACCATAATTCTTTTACCTGCTTGACATATATAATATAATAAAAATATTTATTTGTATAGTGCTTATCTAAGCAAGGTCACAAAGTGCATAAAATAAGACAACAAAACAATATGGAATATAGTGTGTACAGAGAAAAAATAGAACAAAAAGAAAAAAAACACAAAAGTACAAATCGGGCATTAAAAGGGAAAGCTTATTTATAAAAGTATGTTTTAAGCGCTGATTTAAAAACAGGTAATGTTCTAGCCAGTCTAATCTCCTCAGGCAGATAATTCCAGAGCTTTGGGGCCTCGACGGCAAAAACCCGGTCACCTTTAGTCACCAGCCTTAATCTAGCAACGGCTAGTTGAGAGTAGGCTTGAGGATCTCAGGTCACGAGTTGGAGCATAGGAAATCAAAAGCTCAGTGATATAACTCGCCGCTAAACCTTGTTGAGCTTTAAAAGCTGCAGCAATCTGTGCATGTTGAAGATGAGCTGCTGAAGGTTCACTGAGGCGTGTAAACAGCGCATTACAATAGTCGAGGTAGAGAATACAAAGCCATGATTAAGCTTTTCTAGGTCAGGAAAAGACACAGCTGATTAGATTTTGGTAATATCTCTTAGGTTTAAGTAGCAGGATCTAATGAGATTATTGACATGTGGTTCAAAGTCCAATTGAGAATCAAAGGTGATGCATAAAGTTCTCGCTGTAGATTTTATATTAGTTGCAAGAGGACCAATAAAGGGTTGTAATTTCCTTGCTAGGTGATCAGGGCCAAAGATTATTACTTATGTCTTGTCTGAGTTCAGCTGCAGAAAATTACAAGTCATATGGGAGATGTTTCTAAAACCTCAAGGCTAGATGCCAATAAGTCCTCCACACAGGCCTTTAATTAATCTACATGTGCATTTTCTCTATAAATAATATATAAATCTTCTTCCTTTTGAAGGGTCGGTCACCTGCTGGCTTAGTCACATCACCATGGAAACGGTCATCAGCAGCCCTGAAACACAAAACCAGTCGACAGTGTTCATTGCAATCTTCAACTCTAGCTGTCGCTTTGATGAGGAGTTCAAATACATCTTGCTGCCTGTGTCCTACAGTGTGGTGTTCGTGTTTGGCTTCATGCTCAACGCTACCGCTTTGTGGTTGTTCCTGAAGATGCGTCCGTGGAACCCCAGCACGGTGTTCATGTTCCACCTCGCACTGTCCGACTTCCTGTACGTCCTTTCCCTGCCCACCCTCATCTATTACTACGCCAACCGCAGTCACTGGCCCTTTGGAGTGGCCGCCTGCAAAATAGTGCGCTTCCTCTTCTACGCCAACCTCTACTGCAGCATCCTCTTACTCACCTGCATCAGCGTGCACCGCTACCTGGGCATCTGCCATCCAATCAAGGCGCTGACCCTGGTGAAGTCCCGCCATGCCCACCTGGTGTGCGGCATGGTGTGGGCTGTGGTGAGCGTGTGCCTGGTGCCTAACCTCATCTTCGTCACCACCTCCAGGAGGGACAATGACACCCTGTGCCATGACACAACCAGCCAGGAGTTCTTCGAGGAGTACGTGGACTACAGCTCTGTTGTCATGGTGCTCCTATTCGGCGTCCCGTTCCTGGTTATCGTGGTGTGTTACTGCTTGATGGCGCGGGCACTGTGCCGGCCAAGAAGGGGATTATCTGCCAGCAAGCAGAGCGCCGCCTCACGTCAGAAGTCCATCAAGCTCATCATCGTGGTGTTGGTGGTGTTTGCAGTGAGCTTCGTCCCGTTTCACATCACGCGGACGCTTTACTACACGTCCCGTGTGTTAAATCTTCACTGTGAGTTTCTCAACATTGTCAACTTTACTTACAAGATCACGAGGCCGCTGGCGAGCATCAACAGCTGTATTGACCCAATTCTGTATTTCCTGGCCGGGGATCACTACCGGTCCAAGATGATGTCTGTACTGACAGGAAACAGACAGATGACAAGCAGTCAAATACCTGAGCAGCCACAAACACAGCCGAACAATAACCAAGGCATCGCTCTGCACTATAAGAACCCAGCCCTTAATGCCAGTGGAGATTTGGAGAGATAGTGGGAAAATGTAAAGTATTAAACATGTATTAAATGTTATGTATTAAGTATTCCTGTTATTGCACTGAGAGGTTTGGAAGAGAAGCAGTTTACTGTAACATTAACTTACAGTATTTACCTTCACTCCATCTAACTTCTGTAATAATGACTGTAACAGACTGTGTTTCAGCTCCCCTCACTTTCTTGAGGTTATTATGTTTGTAAAATGAAGTTAAGTCAGTAAAAAATAATCTGTACCCTTTCCTCAGCATACAGTCTCCTGCCACAAATTGATTATTACACCAAACTCAAGTTATGATTGACAGTGTTTGTGCTGCTGTACACTGTTCCTCTTTGTGGGGAAAGATGTTGCCTATACAGAGGAAAAGTTTTACTATCAAATTACAGGAAGAGAAACTGAAACATTTGGTTAAGAGAGTTTGACACCAGTGGTCACAGGTGAACTAAAGAGAAGTTCATCCCAAAATCAAAAATACATATTTTCTCTTACTTGTAGTCCTGTTTATCAGTCCAGATTGTTTTGCTGTGAGTTGCAGAGTGTTGGAGATAAGGGACATAGACATGTCTGCCTTCTCTCTAATATAATGGAAATAGCAGCTAGTTCTCATTCCTAGGGCATCAAATGTGACATCCATACTGAAAGCAGCCTTCGGCATTAATATGAGATGCAGCGGCCAGTGTAAACCCATCCATGGCAATAGTTAAGAGCAACTGATGTAGCATAAACAGTGATCCCATGGTCATGGAAAACCCGGACAAGTCATGATTTTGTGATTGGTTTATTGTTACAGTAATCATCCGGGGATAACCTCTCGCATAATGTAACATAATGACACATTTATTTTGCGCAAGTTAGCCGTTGACATAACGTAGCTCTAATATGCGTCAGCTTAGGGCTGCACAATATATCCTTACAGCATCGACATTGGATGTGCAATGTCACGTGACCAAAGTAACCCAAAAAACTTGCACAGTTCTCATTTTCCATGGCTTACACCAGTCAAACCCTCTGCTATAAGTTGTTACATGTACTGTATGTGTGACAGTATAAGTGTATGTATAACGGCTGCCATTGTTATGGGAAGCGACGCTCTTCTGCATGCTTGTGTATAGAAAAGTACCATAACCAACGTGGCAAGTGCAGCAGACACAGTGAGGTACATGTTTTTTTGAAATGCAAATTTCAATATGGGTCTTTGAAAAGTCATGAAAAAGTTTTGTCATTGTGTCCATGAAAATGTGTGGGAACCCTGTATAAAGACTGATAAAGTCCAGGCAGGGTGGGAGGAAGGGGAGGTGGATGGCTCAAACAAAACCGGACCCTCACCCGGGGCAACCACAGTTTGTTTACAGTGTGAAATCAAAAGTCAACGTTGCTTTCATGTAATGTTAGGCAACTTAAAAACAGTCGTCACGCACTGACATCACTTGTGACATATTTACGTGACATTACGTACTTATATTAACCCAAAACATGTTTTTTTTTTCTAAAATTAACCAAGTATTTTTGTTGCCTAAACCTTACTCATGACCCTTTTCACAACATTAACCTTGAGTTGCGATGTGCTTCAGCTCTGTGGCCTTCCTGTCACTATGAGACGCAGATGAGACATGACAATTCGACGGTATTTGACCATTTTGGATGAGAATGTGTTGGAACTATATGCTAAAAGTGGTTTCCTCCTACCGAACTATACACACCAATCATATCACTGTGCACAGGGAAGTGTGCATCTACTGCTAGCTCACCTAGCTTACTGAGCTAGCTAACATTACAGCTCAGCTGAGGAGAACGTCTTTATTGTTTTCATCTCACACTTTCACGAGCATCTTGTCTGTGAATAAATGCACGCTTCCCTCTGCGCGGTGATATTATGCTCATAACCCCGAATACAGCTTGCAATATTTGAATCTTTGGAAACATCTGGATTTTGACAGGAATTTTAAATAATGCTGTGAGGGTTTGAACAAAATTTGCCCACACCACATGAGTTGTGACTGTGCTGCAACTATTACTAAAAATAAACTATGAATAAAGTGATACAGCATATTCACTTAAAACTGAATTTGTAACTCGAGACCAGAATTCAACTAAACTACTTCATTGGAACTATCCTTCTTTCTGCATGGTGAAAGAGTTAGCGGGTGTAGTCCGGTAGAAAGAATATAGTTCCTACATGAAACTGCTCACAACAAAGTCTGTTGATCTTCTTGAGTAACTGGGTCATGATTTCTGGAAAATGACATTAATGTTGGGTTAAGCACCACAAGCCGAGTGCCATCTAGTTCCATTATATTAGAGAGAGGGCAGATGTCTTTACGGCCAATATCGCCAACACTCGGCAACTCCCACTGAAACAATCTAGAATGATAAATAGCACCACAGGTGAGAAAGGGAAAAATATGGACTCTCGCAGTGTGCCTTTAAAGTAAATCACGGAAGAGTCAGTCAGTGAGTTGTTATCATCAGTTGGACGCTTACTGATCCAAATATTGAAGTTGATGTCTGACTGAAGATGACAGAGAGTCTGGCTATTGTCTCAGAAATGAGGCAATAATGAGGCAATCCATCCTGTTGTATCAACAATGTCTGTGTGTTACCCAGAAACTGCAGCTACAGTAAGTGCAGCTTCTGATCCCAGCTGTTTTAGTCCTTCAGCTTTCACAGCTGTCTTTTGCTCAACTGTGGAGAGAAGCGGAGGGACCAGGCTGGACCAGACATCTCTTTTCAAACCTCCCACGCCTCATTTGAAGGATAAGGGATTTTCCTTTTGACTCGTTTACCTTTGGGATTGATACACGGAATTTAAAGTCCTTTTTTCTATCGGTAATTTACGCTGAACTCCTAGATGGTTTTACAAGATGTGAAAGCAGCGTTGGAAAGTTTTACTTCATGCTACAGAGTGGCCCTCCACCCTTGTTTTTAATGTTGACGTATAAACCACTGCTGCAGCAGTTGTATTCTTACAGCTCTGTGCCACTTGGGTTTCTCATGATGTCAAGTGTGAGTGCTATCTTTGGAGATGTTTTTGTAATTACAGTTCGATGTGTATCATAAAGTGTTACATCATGAGTTTGTGGTATTTACTGTGTGTCACGTATCATGAGCTGATTATGCAACGAATGTTTCCTGTCTGGTTAGTATGAAATCCACCACGATATCATTAGGCTTTAATTTCTTTGTCAACTCACCCTCACTAACCTGCTGTGACCTGAATAGGTAGAGCTAATGTTTTGGAAGTGAAAGTATTACAACAAATACAAAATTATATTTCACTGAAAGTCCACCATCAGTTATGCAGAGTGAGAGTCCTGTGAAAGCTGCAAGACACGATAGGCAAACAAAAGCCCCACCAGAGTGGTGTGAAAAAGTCTTAAAAGGTTATCATTTCTTTAAACCATTCAACGGCAAGAACATGATGCAGGCTCCTCTTTAGGGCGCTGGCTAAATAAAAACTGTAACTGATGAAAAGTTTTATGTGGACAGGATAAGGATCAGTGCATACACTCCCAAATGTGAGATTCTTACCTTTGTTTTTATGCTTAAAGTCTCTTTAAAGGTCCTGCCTGTCAGATTTAGGGGGATATATTGGCAGAAATGTGTGTGTTTTATTTAGATAATAATCACCTGAAAAATAAGAATCCTTGTGTTTTCATTACCTTACAATGGGCTTTTTATGTCTGTGTACAGAGCAGGTCCTCATCTATGGAGTCCGCGATGTTGCACTACCATTTTTCCACAGTAGCCCAGAACAGAGAAACCAAACTGGCTCTAGACGGGGCCACTTGTGTTTTCATGTTTTTCCCATCAGCTACTGTAGTTCACCTACAGGCTTGGCACACAGGAGACGTTTCAGCTGGTTGCAATCTGCAACCTCAGCCACTAGATGCCACCGAATCATACAAACTCAACCTTTAAAGAAAAAAACCTTTCAGTATTTCCACACCATCTAATGTATACTTTATATTAACTTGCCTTTTATGCAGATTTTATAATAATAATATCTTTGGAAACTTAAGGATTTTGATAGGACTCTAAAGTAATGCTGTGAGGGTTTAAAGAAGTGTGTCCACATCACATGAATAATGACACAAAAGTTATCTATAACTAAAAATAAACTACAAAGAAAATGATACAGCATGTTCACTTGAAATTGAATTTATAACTTGAGACGAAGCAGCAACTTCTGGGGCTGAGAAATGAGGCCAACATGGAAGTGAAAACTGCAGTTCCTCAAATAACCACCTCTTATCATGTCAAAATGCCCAACTTTAGAGCAGAAGTTAACATATTTACAGCCCAGTAGAAAAAACAGTTTTGGCCACTGTAGCTAATATCAGCATTCATGATAACTGTACAAAATAAAACACTGGCTCTAATTTTCAAGTAACTCACCTGTTTACATTTTAACAAGGCTTAAAATTATGCACATTCAAGGATGGGGCTGCTTGAGTGACAGGCTGTCTGCGAGACATCACTACAGTCTATGAGTCAGATTCACCCCTCACCCCTCCACAGCTCCATTTTCTTGTCCAAATATGGTCACTTCTGGCTCCAAAAAACCCAAGGTGGTGAACTCGAGGCTTCAAAATGGTAGTCCACAAACCAAGGGGTGACATCTTGGCAGCTATGTCCATTATTTATGCACGCTATGCTCAAGACCAGAATTCACCAAAACCACCTCATTGTAAAAGTCCAAGTAGAAACCAATAGAATGATAACAGCAGTGCAGTAGTACCCAGTTGTGAACTGAAGGATTATAATAATCCAAATAAATAAACTAATTAATAGTTAATCCCCATGAAAATGTATACTATTTTTTACATTTGCAATGTACAACAAGCCAATAACCAATGGTTGATTGCTGCCACTCACTCTAGGTCCTTTTGCTCAAAACTGAAGTTAATGACAGGCTGCATCTTATAATTCATTACTTTGTGGTTCAGTACCAAACTGGTCTGAATCCTACTCAAAGATCAGGGACTACTTTGTGTCTATGGGTAATTAGACATCTGGGTGGGCAAAAATAACATACGGAGTTCCCCAAGGCTCCTGTCTGGGGCCTCTTCTGTTGAACATCTACATGCTTCCACTGCAGGCTCAGATTATGAAAACACAAAATATCTCACCATAGTCATGCAGACGACACATTCATTTAGATTAAATAAATGAAATGAATAAATGAACAGCTAGATAGGCCAGGATTTTCTTCAATTAAACAAAGGCAAAATTGAGGTAACCATTTTGGAGCCAAGGACTATTAAAAGTCAGCACTCAGGTTCACTCTGCATTGTTAAAATCCATGAACCCAGTCAGAAATCATGTCAGTCACAGACCTGAATTTCAACAGCCACATTAAAACAGGTTGTAAAGTCGGCCTCCTATGACCTTATGAATATATCAAGGATTAAAGGACTTATGTCTCAGCAGGATTCAAAAAAATGCGCCCATGCACTTATCTCCAGTAGACTCCACTACACCACTGTAACAGTGTCTTTACAGGTCTCCTCAAAAATCGATCAGACAGGTGCAGCTGATTCAGAGTGCTGCTGCTCGAGACCAAGAAAATGGATCACATACCTCCAGTTCTGAAGTCTGGCGTCCTGTCTGTTAAAGAATTGATTTCAAAATACCACTGTTGGTTTATAAAACACTGAATAGTTTAGGGCCAAATAGTTTATGATCTTCTGCTACATTATGACATTATATTAATGCTGCAACTCTCAGTTCTTTTAAATCAAGGCTGAAGACTTTTCTGTTTGCTGCTGCCTTTTATTAATTCAAACAATTATCCATATCTTACACTGCTCTGTAACTTTTATTCTTGTACTTTATACCTGTCTTTTATCTTATATTCTCTGGGCTCTTTAATTATTGTTTTTATTGTACTTAAATTTCCTTTTATAATGTGTTTCTTTTGCACTTTATCTTGATATTAATGTTGCATTGCCCTGTTACTGAAATGTGCTGTATAAGTAAACTTCCCTTGCCTTTCTTTTTCAGCAGACAGTCCATTTTACCAGCGTCTTCACTTTGTACTTCTTATTCCACCAATAGAAAAAGGTGACATTGACAAAAATCTGCTAATTTGACACATGATCTAATAATTTATAATTAAAGTGAATACTGGGTAGACATTCTACATTATATGGGAAAAGGTCTTGGTATTGCTTTGTGTATGAATCCTGTCTCTACTCCTGGGTCACTCGTGTCAAGATGCTATTGTTGGTTGCTCCGGCAGATTGAATGATATTCTTGCATATGCTTTTTGTCATGGATTAATGACAAACCACCTTCAAATACAAACTGAAAATATGGACTCCATACCTCCGTTTCTCAAATTATATTGTGGCTTCAACACTTGCAAGCAGATTGCGCTGTTGTTTTGAATTCATATCTAAATGTTTCATCACTTTTATTCTTGATGGTTGTGCAGACCAGTGTTGTGCAGAGCTGTTCCATGCTGTTTGTAAGAAGGAGAAAAGTCAATCAATATACTTGACAAAAAAAAATAAAAATAAAATGAATCTAATCAATTTTCAAACCGCCAAAAAGACACCTTAGTGCACCTTTTCCATCTGTGGTAATGCAGCTCATTCACTCCTGTGATGTCAGCTCATGAGCGCCTCCCTGTGGTGTGATGTTGACAGGAAGTTGCACCCAGGAGCAGATCAGGGGAGCTCAACTGCTCAGTTCAATGTCTTAAATAAACAAGTGAGAAAAGTTTATGCAGGAAAATACAAAAATGTGCATTTATTTAAAAACCTGTAGGTGTTTAAAGTGCTTTGTGTTTATTTTGGCCCCTGGAAGCGAGGCCGGAGGAAGATGGTTTCCATGCGCCACAGAGACACGGTAGGATGTTTCAATCTGCTAAACTGCTGTCCTCACGTGATTGTAACATGTTTAGTATTTTAAACACAAACACATAGGCTTACATGAGAACACGCGGACACGTTCATTGACATTTGGTTTGCTTTCTATCTCTTGTTAATACATTTCATTTCGTGTGTGATGATGTGTGACGCAGACTGAGCTCGGCCAGGTAGGCCTTGGCTTTGCAAGTTGGCCTTGTGTTGCGGGTGTCTGTCTATACCGGGTTCAGATGGAGGGCAAAGCTTTTTAAAATCACACAGAAAAGCAGAGAAATATTGCAGATGATTTTGTTAATTTTCAGTATAATTCAGGTGCATTGTGCAGAGGAGATGATGGATGATCATTCTGGGAAACCTTTCAGTTTGTATTGTTGACTCTCTGCCCTTTGTTGATCTCAGACACGTTTTGGTTGTCTTGAAGTTATCCTTAAAAGTTGATTGGAGCATTTGGGTTGAATAGAACAGAAGTGAGCTAAATGACACCTTTATAGTGATGTTTTCATGTTTTGTGTCACGCTGAATGATGAGCCACATGCCCCCTCTCTGAGATCAGAAAAATCTCCCTGTGTTGGGTTCATGGAACAGTTTAATAACCACTTAGATAAACAGAAGACACATGACTATAGGGTAAAAAGAGGTTTTGTCCTGATTGTTAGAAAAAGTGATAGAAAACTGCCTCTATGTGCCAGGAGATTGAGACGGATTTGTTCTAGTCATGCTGTTGGCTCACTTTATGTGTAAGGTTGCTTTTTAGGAGGCAGGTTTTGTTAAAATGTCATCAAATGAAGAATAATCAAAACAATTTAATTTATAAAGCCATGCTGACTTAGTGACCTGTGTGTGTGTGTGTCTGTCCTGGGCTGTCAATAAAGTGTTGTGTGCATTGTGATGAGATGAGGTTTGATGAGAGCTGAAGACACTAATTGTTCTCTTGATATTGCTGTGATTACTACACAGTGCTTTAATGTACTTTAAACTACTGTCAGACAAATATTTTCTTATGCAGTTATCAAATACTGCTAAGTGATACAATTCAGAGTAATTTAATGGTAGATATTTTATTTTCTATTTGATAGGGACGATGCAATTTAACACAGTTCCAATGCAGAGTATGGAACTGATGTGTTGCACAGAGAATTTAAAGCTTTTGCTAATTTATTAACCCTTGTCACTAGTTGGGCTTTTACATGTAGACCTAAA